ACAATGACTTAGTACCAATTTTCTTGTTTTTTTGGAACTCACTTTAACAACACTTATCACTCGAAATCATATCCGAAAATTTATTGAGATTACATAAAGATAAGAAATCTGAAGAGTTACTCACGTTAACGACAAATGTCACTCGAAATTTTATCCAACAAATTATTGAGATTATATAAAGATAAGTTGGAAGCTTAATCTGTTCGAAAACCTTATTTTAATATGGTAGTTTAATTTAAATAACCATATTAATTCAATTAAAATAATAAATTATGTTTGACCTATGATCCTTTGGCCCCCTCAGTTTGATATGAGTTTTTATCAAAAGGTTATGTTTGGCCTATGACCCTTTGGCCCCCTCGGTTGGAAATAGTATAAAATATGGTCTGACATTGCTCATTAAAATATAATTTTTTGCATAGCTATAAGGATAAATGGAGCTTTTTGGCCTTCATTCGATTAAAGATGGCCTTAGAGTTTTTTTTCCTGCATTTTTTTTAGAAATAGCCATAAAACCTCATTAGATTAGGTTGTTTGAGATGCTTTAACAAAATTGATATTTTCGAGATTTTTCCTCATGCTTTCTATTTTTATATTATAACATATTGCGCTACAAGTTAGAGAGTTGGTCGTTTTTCATATCGAGCCATTGGAGCAGCGCGTCAGGCTACAATTGGACAATTCTATCATACTATGAGCCGAAGAAATAGTATGATATGGTAAGAGTTTTCGCAAATCTACTTATTGGCGGGAAGCCTACAGCAGTTAGAAAGAAGGAAAATAGGGTGCGTGATAGATAGTGATCTATCTTTCTTATCTATTTTTCTCATTATTGATTTTGGTTTGGAAGTATTTTTAAATGATTAAAACCGATTTTGGTGAAAATATTTTTTAAATCACTCCTTAGTAAAAATTCAAGTGAACCCTAAAAAGACATTTTAAGTGCTTCATGCATGAAGCACCTATCTGATGCTTCAAACCGAAAATCGAACTCAACCAGGCCCGTTACCTTCCATATTTTCATTTTAAACTTTGATCTTGCTTAGCAAGGAGTCTATAATTATTATTTTTTTAATTCCCGTAACTATACGATTATTTCGGGTAGATACACATGGAGTATACATCTAATCTTTGTCCTAAGTCTAGTTTGTGTTCTTTTGGTTAACTAAGTTTTTAAAGCAACAACACAAGTTAACGTACAAGTTAGATCAATATCGAAAAGCATATGTATTGTAATTTTCATTCGATGAACCAAAAGATTAATGAATCTAACAACCAAAAAATAATAATGATTACCCTTGATATAGCATTTGGCAAGGCAAAAGAAAATGTAGTTTACAAAATAGAGAACACACAAACAACCTATATAACTCCCATGAAAATCTTTCATGCTTTTGCTTTAATTTACCATTAAGGGAGTGGAACTCGGACATCTTTTCCAAATGGGAAATAAAAATACCCCTTAAATAAGATCTACCGTAAAATACATACTGGTTATACATAGATATTATACTTTGGTCAATACATGGACGTCGTAATGTATACAAAATAGGTTTAACAAAAAAAAATGTGATAAATTATGAGCTAGATCATTAAATATAAAAAATCAACAATATAAATCTAAAAATGGTTACTCAAATAAAGTAACGTAAGAAAAAAAAATCAAAGGGGGAAAAAAAAAAAAAAGGATACGTTCGGTAAAGATGACCGAATGATAAGTCAAACAGTCGCTATCTTCATAACAACAATTACCCATTAAAGTCGCTAACTCCATACCGATCATTCCTTTTCAATTTTTTTTTTTCCATTTTTGCTTTTGTTTTTTAATTTTTTATATTTTCTTTACCATAACAACAAACTATCATCTTCAGGTTCTTTAAAATATATTTTCCTTGCAAAACCCATTAATTCATGTTTAAATATTTGAACTTTAACGATACAAAACCTAAACTGGAAGATATATAAATTTATTAGTAGTTACTCAAATAAAATAACTTAGGAAGAAAGAATCCAAAGGAAAAAAAAACAAAAAAGTAAAAAATAAATAAAATAAATTAGAATAGGAAAAGATCGGTACCGCGCTACCGATCCTCACCTAGTCCTGCCGCTAGCGTCATAGCGTTCTTCTCCTTGAATAGGAAAAAATAAATAAAATAAATTGGAATAGGAAAAGATCGGTACCACGCTACCGATCCTCACCTAGTCCTGCCACTAGCGTCATAGCATTCTTCTCCTTGAATATTCAATAACTCCATATTGATCATTCAGATATCTTTTCCACATTGGAAAGAAAAGTGTCTCTAAACTAAAATCTATTATAAAATATTATTGGCTATACATAGACATTGGTCAATATTCATAGACGTTGTAATGTATACAAGATAAGTTTATATAATAAAAAAAACGTGGTAAATTATGCGCGAGATCATTAAATATAAAAAAATATCATAATTTTTACATAGACCATACCTTAAAGCCAAAGTATTTAGTATTTTCACACATATTATTTCATAACATAACTCAAAAAAAATTTAGAACTAATTTTTAGTAAAAATGCAAGTAAATCTTATAAAAGCACTTAAAGTGCTTCCTGGAAGAAACACATAACTGGTGCTTCTTGCAGAAAGCACTTCAAGTGCTTTTTGCAGAAAGCACTTCAAGTGCTTTTGGAAGCTAAAAATATTTTCTCTAAAAGCAGTTTCAGTTATTTTAAAAGTACATCCAAACGAGTCATTAGTTATGATTAACTTGAAGAACACAAATTCGACTTAGGACGAATATTAGATGTACGCTCCATGCGTCGCACATTTTCGAGAATTACTATGAATTTACGGATTCCTTGCTAAGCAAGATCAAAGTTTAAATAGACCGCCGGTTAGGTTGTATAAATATAATCGCATAATAAACTAATCAACATTAATATCCGGTTGTTCAAATGAACATATGGAAGCTAATTGGCCTGATTAAGGTTGGTTAGGGACTCTAAATTTCTTTCTACATAAGTGTTTGTTACTGTTCCGCCACTTAGTACTATGATGTAATGGTATTTCTCTTCACTTGTAAGTGAGAGGTCTTAGATTCGATTCTCGCCAATGGCAGATTTGAACCACATTATTGCTAACTCATTGTGAAGCTAAGCCTACCCCTCCCTTTTAGTGTAGATAATAAAAAGTGTTGTTACTATTCCAGCTGCTAAATGGAACCCGAACAAAAAAAATTCTATGCTAGAATCGGAGGAGTTTTACCGATCGTCTCGTATTATTATTATTTTTATTGTTGTTGTTGTTGTTGTTTTTTTTTTTTCTTTTTCTCGTTGTTTTTCCTACGTTACTTTATTTGAGTAACCACTGTTCGATTTTAAATATCTTTAGATTTAGGGGTGTATTTAATTGAGATTTTGAGATTTTTTATTTATTTTTACAAATTTAGGAGTATTCAATCAGAATTTTGACCCCTCCCCAATTTTCTTAGTACCTAATCGAAACCTTTATGAAGTATTTTTGCAGTTAAACTTTTATACCAAAACCAAACCTTTTATGGTGTAACAAGTCACCCCCCAACATTCCATCCAAACGAGGCATTTTCCTTAAGACTGTTTGTTCTATACAAGCGATATTTGGTATTATAACAATCTATGAGAAGAAAAATTTGAACGCAAATATAAAAAGGCGAGGACATTGACTTAACTAGCAATACGAATGTAACAAAAAGTAAAAATAGGGTAATTTACACTTTCATACCTCAGGTTTGGGATCTATTTCAATTCCTTACAACATTTTCAAAACATTTCACTTTCGTACCTTAAGTACTATTTTATTTCAAAATAATACCTCTGTTACATTTTCCATTCATTGATCCGTTAATTGCTGACGTGGTTGCCAAATGTATTACACGATATTTTTTTTAAAAAAAAAAACCTTAATCTTCAAAAAAAAAAAAAAAAAATCAAAAGCTGCAACACATTCCTGTAACCCACCCCGCCCATTATTCTTTCCACCCCCCTTCCCGGGCCACGAACGACCCACTCAAACCCACCTTCCTCCATGACCCACCTCACCTAGAAACCCACCCTCCGCACCCACCCTCTTCTACACATCCCATTCCTTAAATCCACACCTATTGGGAGGATCTGGGTTGCAGGAAAAGGAGATGGGTTTTTTTTTTTTTTTTTTTTTTTCCTTTTCTTTTCTGGGTTGCAAGTAGTGCGTGCGGAGGAGGAGGTGGAGGATGGGTGCACAGTAGGTTTGGGGAAGACGGGAGGGAGAAAAAAGGGGTGGTTTTTTTTTTTTTCTTCTTCTGGGTTGCGGATTGGGCTCGGGTTGGGGGGATGGGAAGATGGGTGCAGAGGAGGATGTGGAGGATGGGTGGTTTTGGATTTGGGTTGCAAGGAGGGACAACGAATGGGGATGATGATGAACGGGATGGGGTTTCAGCGGTGCCTGGGAGGGGATTAATGGGTTTTGGTTTTGGGGGGAAGGAAAAATGGGCGAGGTGGGTTGCAGGGATGTGTAGCAACTTTTGAAATTTTTTTTTTTTTGAAGATTAAGGTTTAAAAAAAAAAAATTAAAAATTTTTTTTTTTGCCACGTGTAATACATTTAGCAGCAACGTGACAGCCACGTCAGTACTTAATGGATCAATGGATGAAAATGTAACGGATGTATTATTTTGAAATAAAACAGTACTTAAGGTATGAAAGTAAAATGTTTTGAAGATGTTGTAAGGAATTGAAATAGACTCCAAACCTAAAGTATGAAAGTATAATTTACCCTTAAAAATATGTCACGCATCCTATAAATTTTGAAATCGGACCCTGAGTTTTCAGATTTGAAAGGCCGGGCCTGTTGGGCCAAACTCCGAGTTTTTTCCCTGTTAATTGGGTTAGCGTCAACACTCAGCAATATACAAAATACGACGTCGTTTGAAACCTCAACCTCACACGCGCATCGCCTCCGAGAGATAGTGGAAAGTGAAAACGCACGCCTGAGAGCTCGCGGCTGTATTTGTTAATTGGTATTAGCCAAAGCATTCGGATCCCAACTTCCAGTTTCTAGGGTTTCCAATCTCCGATCACCACCAATCCCGAAATCCATGGCGATGGCTGCTCTCAGACGAGAAGGGAGGCGTTTCGCCCCTTTGATCTCTCCCCATCCGATGGCCGCCGTCCGATCCTCCATCATCCCAGCCGAGTACGCTCTCTATCCAAATCCGCCGTTTTTTATTTACTTTTATTTCTTATCATTTTGCTTGCATTATAGTTTTACATTGCCCTCTGTTTGGATGCCGAGAAAAATTGAGTAATAGATAAAATAAAATTTAATTTAGGATGGATTTTTGGGGGTGTGTGTGTGTGAAGAAATGAAAGCTCAGCTTAAGTTAGGGAGTGATTTAATTTGTTTGTGCAAAGTGAGAACCTTTAAGATTACTGAATTTTTTTCGGCGAATAACAAGTGGATAATTGAATTTGTTAAAAGGATACTACTGCAGATGTTAGGATTGTATGGAAGGCTGAAAGGAATAATTCACACGAATCCGCCAATCTGTTCATTAGAATTTAGTGAGCGAAAATTATTGATGTTGCTTGGGTTTAATTTGTTTGGATAGCGCTGAGCAATATCGTTTACATTAACAAGAGAAATGTAGGAGGGGATATGTTTGGTGCATCTCTGAAAGTCAACTATAGTTCTGGATCATCATGCTCGCTTGATTTCATTTCCATGTTTGGATGTCTCGCTATCGTTTTTTGTTGCTTCCACATTTCGACAACTAAATTACTTGGTTTGGTGCTCAGGGAACAAGTACCTTTGGGAGTGCGCTCAATTTCAACTCAAATTGGTAAGAACAATCATCATGAATTAGTTATTATTTTTTTCCTATTTTATTTCTGTTTTCCCTGTTTTGCAAACGGTGATGTGGTTCATTGGTAATACTTTGTATATTCAGTTAGAAACCGGATGAAGAGTGTGAAGAATATCCAGAAGATCACAAAGGCAATGAAGATGGTTGCAGCCTCAAAGCTCCGAGCAATTCAAGTTAAAGCTGAAAATTCTCGTGGCCTGTGGCAGCCTTTCACAGCACTTCTTGGCGACACTCCCAGTATGTTTAACAGCATAATCTTCATAGGCCAAATTATATAAATTATTTGTTTCTTTACATTTTGCTTATTATTGTTAAAGACGTGGCATCTTTGACAGCATTACTCAATCTAGTTGCATAGGTTAGTTGCAACCAGTATTTCTGAAATTTTTCTTTATTTTAGAATACTTAACAGACTGTTCCGCTTGCCAAGTCCTAGCGCAACTGAGGAACTGAAATTACTCTGCTCCTTTTATTGATAATATGGGTACTTTACGGATATGTATTTTAACTCTTTGTCCCCCAACCCGCCCCATTTTCATTGTTTTGTCCTTGTGCACATTGATATTCTCGTATTTGTCCCCCAGGTCGCACCAGTTTCATTGCTTTCCACATGTGCACATTGATATTCTTGTAAGTTCCCTCATTGTGTATTTTTTTTTTCCATGATAGGCGTCAGCGTTAAGAAGGATGTTATTATTACCATCTCTTCAGACAAAGGTTTATGTGGTGGAATTAACTCTACCTCAGTCAAGATAAGCAAGGCCTTGCACAAGTTGAACGCTGGTATTTCTTGGAAGCTGATTGTTAGTCTGATGTCTGCTAAGTTTATATTTTATGCACATTAATATTTTTTTTCCATGAAACTATTGTAGGTCCTGAAAAACAGACAAAATATGTCATTTTGGGGGAAAAAGCAAAGGCTCAGTTGATTCGTGACTCTAAGAAGGACATTGAGCTATGCATAACTGAGTTGCAGAAGAACCCTTTGAACTACACCCAGGTTAGTATGTTTTGAGTAAAGAGAGCCCATGCGCTTACCTATGCGGTGTTTGCTTAAAGAACCACACACACTTGACCAACCTACGTGGGACATTAGCAACGTATTGGTTTTATTTTGTCTTTCATATTTTCAATATTTACTTGCGTTTTATACATGACATTTAGAGTCATAGGGGATCCAGTAAAAATCGTTTATCATCTCATGGAAACCTTTGGTGTTAAGTTTTTTTGACATTATTTTAATCTTTATTAAGTTTTGTTGACATTATTTTAAGCTTAATGTCTCAATGAGTTATATTTTGTTCAAATTAATTGTTATGCAATGCATTGTCAAATTTGCATTAAAATTTCAATTTGACCTTACGATCATGATTAGTGATCAAATGTTGACTTTTTAGCTGTCAATATTGTAAAAGCAGAGCACCTCCAAGGTCTTTTTAAATGTTGTTTAAATTAGCTAGTAAACAGTATCAAAAAGTTAATTTAGTTACCCAATTGATCTTAACATCTACAACAACACCTTTCTATTCTAACAAACTCCTAATGTTTTATTAATTATTCAAGTTTTGAAAAAGAAAATTATTTATTAATAACCACTATAGAGCTTTTAGGAGGGGGAGTATTGAGTTTTAATGTTTGTTTCATAATTAGGCTTTTGTTAGTTTCTCCATTCTCCTCCCTAAACTTAAAGAGCCACTATTGATTTTGTTAGTTATAGAGCCCTTTAAAGAGTCTCTTGGAGATGAATTTCCTTAGTTTGGCTCTCTAAACTAGCTTTCCAAGAGGTTTAAAGAGCCTCTTGGAGATGAGAGCACACATTTCTTTATACTTGTCGACGCCTATTAAATTCTCTTTGATGAGTTCTCTTGCCAGGTTTATATGAACAAAGTTATTAATGCGGCAGTTATACATTATATTAATTATCAAATGTATGAGTTCTGACCATCAATTGCTTGTACCTTTTGTCCTTTCAGGTATCTGTCATAGCTGATGACATTTTGAAAAATGTTGAGTTTGATGCTTTGAGAATCGTCTTCAACAAGTTTCAGTCAGTCGTCTCATTTCTGCCAACTGTGTCTACAGTATTATCTCCCGAGGTAATAAGAATGCTTCAGTTCAATTACTGAACCTCTTTATCACTCATATTCATGTTCTGTTGTTTGGGTATTTGATACGATGTTCGTATAGATTGTGGAGAGAGAGTCTGAAGCTGGTGGAAAGCTTGGCGACCTAGATTCCTATGAGATTGAAGGTGGTGAGACAAAGTCAGAGATACTTCAGAATTTGGCAGAGTTCCAATTTTCATGTGTAAGTCATTTCGTTGAGGTTAGAGACTTCATATTTTTGTATTTGTTGATCAAACCACTGGCCTGGTTGGACGCTTAACGTCAAATTGCATTCGTTGCGGTATTGTCGTAAGATTGACACTTTTGGTTTTGGAGTAGCATCTATAAGTGAATATATTTTATTACCTTTTATTCACATAGAAGAATTTCATACTTTGGGCAGGTCTTGTTCAATGCGGTATTGGAGAATGCTTGCAGTGAGCAAGGAGCAAGGATGTCTGCCATGGACAGCTCAAGCAGAAATGCTGGAGAGATGCTTGATCGCCTCACACTCACTTATAACAGGTCCCCCTTATCCTCCACCCCCAATTTCTTCGAAGTCCTAGCTAATCCTTTACTGCAGACATTTTTTTTATTTGATGACTTTAATATCGTGGTCCACTATAAACGACTGATCTTTGTTGGTTATGTGGTTATTTGTTACAGAACTCGTCAAGCATCTATTACAACCGAATTGATTGAGATTATATCAGGTGCATCAGCACTGGAGGGTTAAGCTTATCTGATGGTGACGAAATAAAAATGTGTTTTTGAAGTTGAAGATGTTACCTTCGAGAGGTATTTTGCTACTTTTCTAATAATTACTCCAGGTTCAAATTCTGGGATATATCAATGAAGGTTTAAATTGATGGTTCTGGGCTTCCTTTCTTCTTTTTAAGTTCCGCACTGCATGTCAAAAATTCATCTTAAACGAGTGAGGATTGTATACATTGTAACAGTTCATTTTCTTCGAAGTATGTTTCATGCTTTCTCTTCTCGGATACTGTTTTCTTGGATCTCTTTTGCAATAATGTGTTTCTGCAATAGCTTCGCTCGAGTTGTCATGCTCGATTTCATAAACTTATATTCATGTTTCCATTCTCTATCTGATGAAGAAACTGCATTTACACGAGAGAGAATCTGGCTTGTAATCAAGTGTACATTTCAGGGATGGCGAAGGTTCTCTTCTCGATCGAAGCCATGCGTGTTATGTTTCCTAAACGATATTTTGTTCACGATTTTATACTTTGTAAGGCAATTATATTCCTAGGGACCATCCAATTGGTGGATTTGGTACAACGGTTGACATTTCGCCAAAACGTCTATATTCTTTTTGGGTGAAAGTTGCAAAAAAAATTGTACTTATAATAATTCTCCTCCTGACAAGCAAATTTTGTGGAGGTTTTGGTGGAAAATTTGGTGCACATTTTCTCCAACTCTTCTGCTACCGATGATGGGCCGCAGTAGAAAACCCGTCCAAGAGACCAAATTTTCAATCGATGTTTAGTAGTTTTTGGTTTGGAATTCAATTTTCGTCTTTTTTTATGCCGAGAATTTACGTCGTTCTCACCAATCCATTTTTCTTTGTGTCTACTTGCTAATTTTGAGAAGACGTTGAACTAGTGCGGTCAAGCAAAAGGCGTGCGTACCCGAAATATCATAAAAGATATTATTTGTATTTGACATCCGAATACATTTTTTCAACCGTTCATTTAGTGTATGAAACGATTAGGGAAGAAATAGAAGCGTATGAAACGACTAGGGAAGAAAGAGAAGCGTATGAAACGACTAGGAAAGAAAGAAGAGGAAAGCAGAGGCGCTCTTCTACTTCTTCCTCCGTCCATCCCCTCAGTCGAGATTCCCCTCTTGCGCTCGTATCAGCAAAAGATAGAAATGCTTTCCCACACAAACCATTTCCCTCTACATTCCATTTTCAAAGAAAAGAATCCGACCAGAAGAGAAGGAGATGGATAGAAATTGAAAAGAAAGGGTTTAAGACACGCGCTAACCCTCGCATTGTGGCACGTCAAAATGGAAAAGGATCCTCGCTGGATCCTTTTCCTGGGGATCCGGGGGATCCCGTAGTTGCGTCCGTTCATTAGACATCGTGCGATCAGTTTTCGTTAGGTACTATTTATATTTAATTTTAAATTTTAAATTTTAAATGATTTCTGACCGTACGATGTACGATGAATGGACACGATTACGGGATCCTCCGGATCCCCAAGAAAAGGATCTAGCAAGGATCCTTTTCCCGTCAAAATATCGATGTTGGCATGCAATGACATGTCTCATGTCTAAACAAGCCATGATTTGTCTTGATATGCTAACCCTCCAATCGTGGCACGCCATAACAAGCCTCGTGAATTGTCAACATAATGCATGGCATGTCATGACATGCATTCTGCCGATAATTCGCAATGCTTGTCATGTTGGGGCCAACAACGATATTTTGGAGTGGCACGAGGCGAGGGTTAGCATGTCATGTCATGCATTTTTCTAACACTTTGACAAACTAACCCTTGCATCGTGGCACACCAAAACATCGCAATTAGCCCCGTCACTAGCCCCACTTCTAAATTAACCTGAAATAGTAGGCAAAGTGTTGGTAAAATGCATGTGAAAAAAAGATATAGGAAAGAGTTGACCCTGGAGCCTTGAATTATTTTTTTTTTTCGGAAATTACTACAACATATTAGGCAATTATACATGAAGGGTTCTTACCGTTCACTATTGAGCTGAAAATTTACAAAGGTTATTACTGGTAAGAACACTTGTAAATTTTCAACTCTACTAATAAACGTGTTTTTATCAATAAAAACACATGTTAATTTTCAGCTCTACTAATGAACGTGTTCTTACCGGTAAGAACATGTTCATATATGACTAGCGTTCTGTTTTGTACTAATTTCTAACAAAATAATTTTAGGCCCCGAGGTCTACTCTTTCCAAGATCTTTTTTTTTTTAATTATTCTGAAATAGTAGGCAAAGTGTTAGAAAAATGCATGTCATAACAAGCCTCACGAGTTGTTGCCAGAATGCAGGGCATGACATGTCTTGACAAGCCATGAAGTGTCTTGACATGCTAACCCTCTCATCGTCGCATGCTATAACAAGCATCGCAACTTCATATGAAAATGACTTTATTCACCATGCAAGAAAGGGATTAGGAGAACAATTGGTTATATCGAGTCATTCCTTCTACTCCATTAATTTGGACTAGTGCATTGCATGCCTTATACGGGTTATATTATGTGGAGAAAAGACAAAGGGTGTGCTGGTTACATAGGCTTTTTACTTATTTATTTTCAGAATTAGGCAAACGATTAGCAAAAATTACTTGATGAATCAACTATATGAACATGATAGAATTCTACTTTGCAGCATCAAGTTTCCACTTCAACCAACCAGATAGGATTTGCTAATTTTGGTCATTAACTAATTAAAGATTATTTTGTTGTTAAACATAAGATTTGTCGCTCAATTGATTAAGAACATTCATGAATGCACCTAATTGCTGCACTACCTTAGATCATGTATTCGACTCCCCATTTCTCAAAGTAAAACAAGGTGATAGAAATAAAAAATAAAAAATAAAATAAAAATCCTTTGTTATCATGCATTTCCCCTAGAGATACATAATTAGTAGAAATGATCTTCTTCGGATTCCTTCCATCCATATCCTTTGGATCTTCAAGATTGCGTGCAAGTCTTGCCTCCAGTGGGCCGCAAAGCCATCCCGGCTTCTTCTCCTTCTTGAATAGGGTCGCGTGCCGCAAAGCCATCAATCGCAACCTTGCCTCGAACATGACCACGAAGCCATCAATCCCGACGACGCTGTTGTTTCCTCCAACATCCGCGCCCCTCTCAACCCTCCCGCCATCAACACCATCACGGCGGATCTCAATGCAGAGGATCCCATGCCGATGTTGCCATCTTAGCTTCTCATTCCCATGGCATTAGACCATCTCCAACCGAATGAGGGCCAGAAAGCTCGTTTTAGCTCTCTGACCTTTTAAGAAATTAATATTTTAATGAACGCATGACTATATTTCTTACCATATTCAACCGAGGGCCAAAGGGCCATAGAGCTCGTTTTAGCTCTGTCACAAAAAACTGTCTCCAACCAAAAGCCATAGGGCCAAAATAATTTATTATTTAAATTTAAAAACTACAACTTAAATTTATTTAATGTTGTTTCATATTGTTTAATGTTGTTTCATGTTACTTAATTTAATTTAATATTGTTTAATAGCTTAGGAAGTTATAGGGGGAAAAAATAGAATTTAAAAAAAAAATTGTAAAAAAAAATAAAAAATAAAAAATATTTGAATCTGGCCTTGCCCGGGGCCGGGCGGCTGGCTGGCTGCTTTGGGCCGATCGGTTGGCCCTTTGACCCTTTTTTGTCAAGTGCGGCCTACGAGCCCTTTAACCTGGCTCTCGGTTGGAGACCGTTTTCGAGCTATTTTCGGCCCTTTAGCCCTCTAGACCTTTCGGTTGGAGGTCTTAAGGTTGTCTAGTTGTTTTCCAAGCCTATCGATTTTCGATTGAACAAACATGATTGAAGGATCTGGAGGATCCAAATGACAGGGCCATGGAGAGGATCATGTTCCCATATTACCATATATGCTTTCATACGAAACAAAATAAACACAATTAGCCTGGCTATTTTGGACAGCAGATCAGATCAAGATCATGCTCGTATAACTCATGGCCAGATTAGGATGTGAAGAAAAAATAAAAAAAACTTAATTGTAGTTTGTTCATTCAAAATATCTATTTTCTTTTTTTACAGAAAAACTCAAGGAACTGTTATTAACATTCTAAAATTTTCAATTTATACTTCTCACAAATGTATTTTTCTTTCTAATTATATAAAGTTTGGAGTGCAAAATGAAAATTTTAAAATGCTAATAATAATTTTCAAAACGTATTGTAACTTTTCGTTCATATAACCAAAGTGATTTTTCACGAAACACTTTGTCTTCTAATAAAAATTTCGATGTGTGTCTAATGAAAGTACCTCTAGCAAAAACACCCACGAGCAAAAGTACAGAGCAGACTCAAACGAGCCTTTTTTTTATACGAATCATAATCACAAGTTGAGTTGGATTGGGTTGACCCATAAAAAACTTGGTCTAGCTCGGCTGACCCATCTTGTGGACCTAAGTTGGGTTGGGTCTTGACCCACCATCATTGGGCTAAACTCGCAAACACCCCATTCCCAAAAACATAGACAGAAACAACGCCACCACCACCAACAACACGACAGAGATTCCCACCAACCATTGAAAAGGTGGGAAGGAGGGAGCTCCAGAAAAATCAACAGCAAAAGAGGGATCTCAGAAACAAAGCAAGAACGGTAATTTCCAATTACCCTTTCTGTGTTCTTCTCCATTTATGTTTTCAAGTTTTGGTTTTTAAAGGATATTTCTTTATGATTATTGTTTGATGATTTGTTGGGAGCAGATTTCCATGGAGGGATTGGTGGCTGCATCCTCGCGAGTCGTCCCAGTTCGGATTCATTTGAGGCAGAAGCACCTTTCTTTTGTTTCTGCATCTTCAGTGCAATTTACAAGACGCTTGTATCGAAACAGAGGTCAAGTTGGAATGAGACAACATCCCAAATTACGGAACTCGATTGCTGCTTCAGCTCAACCATTAGAAGCCACATTGAGCCCTTCTGGCAACAGGCTACCATCCAAAGGTAATGCGATTGATTGAATCTGGGAACTTGTATTTGCATCCGAGGTGTAATTGGTTTGAGGGAAAAAAAATGCGTATCTAATATGGTAAGTTTGATTTGTGGGAGTGGAAAACTTGTCTTTGTAACGTTACGTTTAGTTGGTAGTATTTCTTGTGGGATCATCGAATCGATACACTGAAAATAAGTATGAAGTTGATGTTCAGACACTGGAGAATAATTGAATATGAGCTTATTGATTGACCGTTGAGATTAAGAAAAATAAAGAGCTAAGTAAAGTTCAAGCCTTGAGACTTCCAGAGCCGGGCCTTGGCTGATGGTTGTTGTTTTAATGTCTATAGAGGTTCTTGATGTATGGAGAAATGCTGATGCGGTGTGCTTCGATGTGGATAGCACGGTTTGCCTGGATGAGGGCATTGATGAACTTGCAGAACATTGTGGAGCTGGAAAGGCTGTTGCAGAATGGACTGCTAGGTTAGAGTTGTTATTGGAATTCCTTTTATTTGTTCCGTACTCTAGGATTTTCGGCTGACCGCAGTTCTCATCCTTGGCAGGGCAATGGGTGGTTCAGTACCTTTTGAGGAGGCTTTGGCTGCTAGACTATCTTTGTTCAAGCCTTCCCTATCTCAAGTTCAAGATTTTCTCGAAAAGAACCCTGCAAAGTATGATGACTCTAAATTGTCTTGACTGCATGCCGGCTTCATTTTAATTGTCTTTAGTTTATGTTGCCTTCTTGTTTGCTTAATTTCGGCATGCCTTTTAGTCTTGTTAAACTTATTGTGCTTTTTATAGACTCTGAAAGCACAAGTTAGGACTAGTTTAGGATGAAAATATTTCAATTATTAACAAAAGATGGATGCAAGATATTCACGTCATATCATATAAAGAATAGGGCTGTAATCCTGGATTATTTTCTTTCGTATCTGCTGCGAGCTGCTGCTTTACAGCAAACAAACACATTATTTGGTTAAGTAGATTCGATTATGTGCTATTAAAGTTTGTCCTCATAGTATGTGCCTGCATTGTAACATTGTCAGCTTGGGACAATGTCGACTTCCATGTCTATCATATCTAAACATGAAAAGTTTTTACTTGAAATCTTCTGTCGCACTGTTTGAAGATTTCTTGTCCACAGAACGAATTCAGGTTTCCGAAAATGGACATAAAAAAGGGGGAATTGGAGGGAGTGACAGAGGGTGGGAGGGGGAGGGAGAGAGTTGTAAGTTGTAACTGTCCTCAACCTGGAATTCTGAAGTTGAGTAAAAGTTTGGGTGTACTTCTTTCAAGCCAAGCCAAATAAAGATGGCTCCTAAACTGTCCTACCGATAACAAAGATTGCTTCTGGATTGTTAAGCCAAATAATGACTTTCTAATAGTTACTTCTAAGGATGTTGGTAAAAGCGTAGAAATAAAGTGGTTTAGGGTCTGCTTATTATTTGTACTTTTGGCAATTTGATGACCAAAAATCTTCTGAATCTAGTCATGGTGTTAATTCTATGTAGGCTTTCTCCTGGCATAGTTGAGTTAGTCAAGAAGCTGAAGGCTAAAGGCACCGACGTTTACCTGGTCTCTGGAGGCTTCCGTCAAATGATCAAAGTATGCTGCTGAATAACTAAACAAGTGTCTTTGTTATATTGCTACTTTGCTTTATCTCATTTATCATGGCAGTATATAGCCTAGTGAATTAACGTGTGATGGAGAATAAACTGACAATGTTTAATACCAAGTAATTTCTTCTGAAGCCTGTAGCGGCAATTCTTGATATACCAACTGAAAACGTGTTTGCTAATCAACTACTGTTTGGAACTTCCGGAGAGTTTCTGGGGTTTGACAAAAATGAGCCCACTTCAAGGAGTGGTGGAAAAGCCACCGCAGTGCAACAAATAAGGAAGGTTGGTTTTACTGGTTTGCTCAATGTTTTCGTTGTCAAGTATGTTGCCAAAGCTGATTAAAACTGGTTTTCCAGGCTCACAATTACAAGGAATTAGTCATGATTGGGGATGGTGCGACTGATCTCGAGGTAATTATTCACTCAAACGTCCAAACTTTAATCCTGAAGCAAATTGTGTTTTTGTTTTCTGCCTCTCGCATACTTTTAAATATAACAGCTAAAACGTAATCATGCTCAACGAGCCTTGAAATATAAGAAGTCTTTACCAGTCTGATATTCTCGGGCATAAGAAAGGAAGGATCGGGATTATTTCATGTACGATCTGTCACTTAAAGCAAACTCTTTCAGGCTGGTTAAGCTTACACATGAAACTCTCATCTAATATCACTTGTCCCTGTATCCAGGCACGCCAGCCCGGAGGTGCTGACTTGTTCATTTGCTATGCTGGTGTTCAACTACGCGAGGCTGTTGCGGCTAAGGCTGATTGGCTTGTTTTCAATTTTCAAGACTTGATACGTTCCTTGGATTAATTCAGCCCGAGATTATACTTTATTTTGTAGTATTGTTTCTTCGTTACGCTGCCTGCGCTGCTGCATTGGTATAGTAACTGTAACATTTTTCTAATTTGTACCGCGTGATATGCTTTCCGGCGTGTAAAACTCGTCGGAAGATGAATAAGGAAGTGTGTGTTTGGGTGTTTGTTAGGAAGCCGTGTGAGAGTGAAAGGATTGTAGTGTGAATTGGAAAATACTACACAAAAGATGCCAAGGTTAAAGTTTATACAAGTGATTGGAGTATTTATACATTGAATTCCTGTAGAATAAATACATCTTATATATAGGAAGAACGAATTACGAAACCCATCTAAGCAAGATGATTTCTAAAATTGAAAATTGACTATAATCCTTGAATATGAGAGCCATAAGTCAATATCGTCATTCCATATAATTCAGTCAAAACTTTTGTTTTGATACTTACTACTACATGCGATTCTTACATGGAGGAGTCAATGTCGTCTTATCGATCCTCTCCTTCTTCAATTTTGTTTTTTGAAATTTCTTATTCTTGCTCAAGCACTTCTCGGACTCAAGTTCGAATCTCCTCATTTTCGTAGTTCAAATGAATTTAATGTAATTATCTTATCGTTTGTCAATAAAAAAAGATCATGAAATATTTCACTCTAGAAATTTGGACTAGGTCACTAATAAACCAATCATAATAATTTTGTATTGATTCACCTCAAAGAAAACGAAGATATTTGAATTTCAAATCTCTCACTTACGAGTATAAATTAAATACACTCCGTGATATGAAAACCATGCTGACGTCGCAGGCCCACAAAATAATATATTTAAAATTTTAACTACGTATATTTATTTCATTAATACATAACGCAAATTAAATATACTTGTGTTATATAAGTTGTCAATTATTTAGTGGTTTGAACCTTTGAATTTGTTGTCCGTTTCATCCAACCCTAATCTCAGCGGGACTTCGTATATAATCCGTGTCCTTGTATACAAAGACATAAGTACCCTTGTTATAACTCAAGACGTGAAGCAGTCAAAATTCCACGATTTGGGCAAACGACTGAAAAAACATGGCGGCGTCGGAGAGGCGGTGCCACTACGAGGTTTTAGGTCTCCCCCGCGACTGCTCCGCCGACGAGATTCGGTCGGCTTACAGGAAGCTCGCTCTCCAGCGCCACCCGGACAAGCTAGTCCAGTCCGGCTTGTCCCAGTCCGAAGCCACGGCCCAGTTCCAGGAGCTGGCACATGCGTACGAGGTCCTCTCCGACCCCAAAGAGCGAGCTTGGTACGACTCTCACCGCTCCCAAATCCTCTTCTCCGACCGTGGATCGGCCGCCTCGGGCTCTGGCTCCGGCATCCCTAATCTTTTCCCCTTCTTCTCCACCACCGTCTTCTCCGGCTACTCCGACTCCGGCCGCGGATTTTATAAGGTATATTCCGATGTCTTCGACAAAATCTACGCCAATGAGCTCAATTTTGCTAGGAAATTAGGGTTAGGGTTGGACACCGTGCGTGAAGCTCCAGCGATGGGGAATTTAGAGAGTCCGTACGTGCAGGTCACCGCGTTTTACAACTACTGGGCAGGATTTTGTACGGTGATGGATTTTTGCTGGGAGGACATGTATGATGTGTTGGCCGGTCCGAACCGGAAGTCGAGAAGGCTGATGGAGGAGGAAAACAAGAAGGTGAGGAAGAAGGCGAAGAGAGAGTTCAACGAAACGGTGCGGGGATTGGCAGATTTTGTGAAGAAGAGGGACAAGAGGGTGATGGATATGATGCTGAAGAAGGAGGAGGAGAGGGTGAGGAAAAGCGAGGAGGAGAGAGAGAGGAAGAAGAAGTTGGAGAAGGAGAAATTGGAGAGGGCTATGGCGTATGAGGAGCCGGAGTGGGCAAAAGTGGAGGAGGAGGAGGAAGGAGGCAATGAGGTTGAGGAATTGGAGGAGGACGAGGAGGAGGAGAGGAGGAGGAAGGAATTGTATTGTGTGGTGTGTGGGAAGAAGTTTAAGAGTGAGAAGCAGTGGAAGAATCACGAGCAGTCGAAGAAGCATCGTGATAAAATTGCAGAGTTTCGAGAGTCAGTTGCGGATGAAGAGCTTGAAGTTGATGATGAAGACGTTTTGGAGGGAGAGGGTGAAGAAAGGGGTGACCTTGACGATGTTGATGAATTAGGTCAGGAGATTAGAGTGGGGTTGAAGATTGGGGAGGAGGAAGATGGGGTAGGAGGGAGTGATCTGGAGGATGAGTTGCGCGAATTTGGTGGTGAAAATGGGAGCGAAAAGGTTGACGAGGCAGTTGGGTTGGATGGTGAGGAAGATGAAGATGAAGATGAAGATGAAATGGGTGTTCTCAAAGCAATGGTGACCGGGCGAAAGAGTAAGAAAAAGGTATCCTTTAGGGTTGAACCTGAGGATATCTTGGTTAATGATATTCGTGTGGAGAATGATGACGATGACGCTGAGTTTATGGAATATAATAACCGGAAGAGCGCAAGAAGGAAAGGAGGAGCCAGGAAAGAGAGGAGTAAGAAGAATGGTGGTGAAGCTAATAATGTTGATAAAAGTGAAAACAACGGTGGTCAGAATGAGGAGAGTAATGAACAAGATAATTCTACTATGAAGGAATCCACATCTCATTCTGTTGTGGAAAATGAGAGTATTGATAAAGGGGATGAACTGTTGGCACAAAAGAAGAAGAGCTCAAGCAAAGCGGTCAATAAGAAAGAGAAGGTGAAGAAAGAGGCAAACGACAAATCAAAGAACTCATCTAAAGGGAAGAAAGCTAAGGTAAAGTTCTTGCTTTCTGAATTCGCTTTTCTGCTTCACCAAATACCATAATGTGTATAATCTACTCGCTTGTTGAGTTCGTAACCTTGAAACTCAGATTGAATGCTTATATCCTTACTGCATGTATTGTATGTTCAAAATGCATTATCGGAAGTTTTTTGTTAGGTATCATATCCGGATGCTTGATTTAACAACCGTTAGGTCTCATTGGTCCACGTAATGTGTGGTACTTTTTATTAATGAGACCTAGCAGTCGTTAAATCAAGCAGGGAGCATCGAAGAATACTGGCAATGTTTTTCTTTGTTGCTCATTCTTGCTTTGTTCCGTTCACTAATTGATGTCATATCCCAAAGCAGGGAGCATCGAAGAATACTGGCAACGTATGTGATACATGTGGAGAGGAGTTCGAATCAAGGTAATAATGTTTCTTCTGATGCATTGTTGCTTCCACCTCTGGTTGATTGGCCTTGACATCTGACTGGCAGTTATGTACTGCAGCTTTACATGATATTAGATATTGATTAGTTGTATTTGGATGGTTTTATGATGACAGAAACAAGTTACATATGCATTTGGGTGACACTGGACATGCGAAGCTGAAATATCGATGAGGGAACAGTTGCTGAATATTAACCGGATGTGATTAAATTGTCAAGCATAGAAAGAGTCTTGCGACATTGGTCGGCAGCGATTCATTCATTTTGATAAGTTACAGAAATAATCAAAAATCTCTGCAGGAAGCATTCCATTCTTTTGGGTAATCAGATACAAGTACAACCACCCTCTTCTGTCATAAAGGGTATGTATCCAAAGCTGTCACCTTGTTTGGTTCATAGCTTTCATGAATTCAACTGTACGTGCTCTCAAAAGGAATTAAATTGCTTAACATTTTATTTCTTGTCAAACTGCAACTTGTATGTTCAGACAATGGCATTTTTTGTTTTCAAATATAAGCGGTTTATCTTGCAAACATGTTATGGTTGGGAAGTTCGAAAATTTTATTGGACTCTTTTTGGAATGTTGTTTAAGCATTTCAGTTGATGATTTCATATGGCACAAAGTGTGCACTCTGCATTGGGTATAACATAAGGTAGAATTAAACGTAGATGTAGAACGTTTAGAAACTAAACTGTATCAAAAAATTTATTGTTCAAGGAGAAGTATTTTGTGCAAGATAATTTGGTGGCAGCCTCCACTTTGTGATGAAGAACTACAACAATATTAATCTGTTTGCTATCGTAGAAGAGAGAGTGAGCGTTGATCTTCATCTCGTTATAAAGTATGTAGCTTTAGTAACGTCTTTGTAAAGCTTGTGTTGACTGTTACTCCAAATTGTTCCGAAAATGCGGGGGAAAATTTATCTAGTGGACGTGGTATTTGCCTTAAATTTGCCTACTGTTCTGTTTCTCATGCAAATGAATGTCTGACTCGATAGCAAACAGCTTTTCGGATTTCCTTCTAATATCGTGAACTTTAGGTACAGCGGCTGGCTGGATGCAGTGCGGAAAGGTGCACAGAGAATGTTCAGCCCGTACGTTTATAAAAGTGAAATTTCTTGGAGAAAACGGATGACGTCTACATGGGGTGGCTTATCGAAAACTTTTTCCCAGTTCATCAAGTGTGTTGTGAGCTTGATATCGTGTAATTTGGTAGTGTTCTAGATATTTTGATTTAATACGCATACGTATGCAGAGTGGAGAACGATTTAGTGGTGAGATTGTCGAAGCCGTTGTGCTAATTTCCACCAGAAAAGTATGCTCCAGCTCTCCTATTTTTAGCGGCGGTCTTTTGGTCGCCGCTAAAACCATTTTTAGGGACAAACACAGAAGCGACGGTTTAAAAATAGTCTCTAAAAGTATTTTTAGCAACAGGTTAAGATATTTAGCGACAAATTCTTACGTCACTAAAACTACTCCCCTTTCTAGGAAATAATTTGGTCACAAAAAATCAATAAACCGCTGCTATATCGCGGAAACCGTCGCAAAAAAAAAATTTCTCCCGTCATTTTTTCAAAAAAAAGACGCTTTTCTTCATGTTTTTAGGCAGACGTTTAGTTTGCCACCCTGAAATACCACTGGCCCACTTCTTTCACACCCCCTGCAATATATTGTATTGCAACTTCGGACCCCAAACCCTACAAAATTAACGAATCAAAAGGCGAAAAGTGATCATATTTTGTGCACTGTATCTTTTGAAGTAAGCGTTGTTGAATAATTAATACTTGTGAACAATAGTAAGAATTGATAATCTTAATTTGATAATCTGCTTAGAGGCAGAGAGACTAATATGATCCATTTCAACTTTTAAGGTGCTAACTACTGTATCAATGTTAACGCCTAGAACATCTCAACTACGCTACACGTTTGGCCTTAAGAAGGCCATAAATCTCCGTTTCCAGCATAAGGAATTATACAAATGAGCTAGATTTACAAATGCTGCGAGGATGAAAAGTTGTCATCCCAATGGTTTAACAGAAGCTTCTTGTAAGTAAGCCATAGCCGCCCCCTGTGTGAGTTGTTTTCCTTCCACCAAGCCCCTCGCAATTGTGTTGACGTAATTTTTGGCCGGAGCACACAATGGAAGCTCTCCGGATTTGTAGCCATCCATTTCTGATTTTGTACACCTGCATAGTATTAAATGAAAGACGACCAAAGGGATTGAGTTCTCACTACTTGTAATGATTTCACAAGTAAATCGACAAGATAACACTAATGACAAAAAAGAAAACAGAAAAATGAAAGAGAAGATGAAAACTGAAATCTTTGACGCATACGTCATTGTTAGTATTGGAATATCATGCTCCTTGCCCAAGTAGACAACATTACTGTACCAACACTCCTGAAACAAAATTGAGCACATCCATAGCGTAAGTGTAACAGTTAAGAATAATCATTCTAAAACGAGGAGGCATATCAAGTTCAGCTACCTTTAGTTGAACCTGTAGAGAATGCAGGCTCCTCACGAGTGACTGAGTCTAAACCAGTCAAGTCAAACAAAGGAGAGTTCGAAGGAAAACTCACAACGTTTTCCTGGACCAATACATCGTTAAACTGCTCAAGCCTGCAAGAGGAAACTGAGTTTAAAATACAGCTACGCCTGATTCAGGCAATTGGAGAATCAATCTTTTTAAGTGTCATGTTTGAAAGAAAATGATTTGTACAAAAAGTAGCAGTTAAAACAATAGGACAGATTTGAGTGACAAGAAAACATACGTAATTCTATACAGGCACATATAAGCCTTATCCAGGATGTTGCTTTCGGGATTAAGGAAAGCAACCCCTCCAGGACCCCATGTAGCTGTAGATTCACGACCAAAGAACAAGCGATGAGGGAAAGTCTTCCACACAATCTCCTTTGGGGGAGTTTTGTCCGCACACCCAAGAAATGGCGTTTTCATACCTTCCATCTGAAAATCATCTTGTGGATGTCAACATTTGTATATGGTGGGAAGAAGATCAGAGACAAGGGAAAACAAGGGCAGTATCACAGTATTGATTATCTAATATCCATGATACTATAAGCTTATAACCAAACCGCTGTCAGCGAAATACTGAAGCTCATAATATGCTTAATATGTTTCATATTCAACAATGATATTAAACAAAAGTTTTTGGGATTGCATATTACCTGTCCACCTTTAATATAGCAGAGAAATCTTTCCAGACACAGATTTGATCCGAAAGAGGCATACCAAATATCGACCTTTGAAAGCTCTGACCTCCAGGTGCAAGAATTACTTGCCACATGATCTGGATTAAGTTAACAGTTCGTAATATGAACTAAAACAAATAGTGAAATCAATTCCTGATCTCAGTTATCAATTTACCTTGAATACTTCCGTCAAGTTTCAAATTCGAGAAGGGCTCTATAACATCTTGAAGAATATCCTCAAGATGTTTAGATATGACATTTGGATCTTCGTTGTCCTCCGCTTCAGAATCAGAGCTTGAGGTCACAATATACTAGAATTGCAAAACAAGTATCTCAACAATGTTTGTGGGGAAGAAAAGAAATAGATGCCAAGTACTGAGACACTTGAGATAATCGAGTGTTCAAATAGAACTATTGACTACCCAACCAGAAGCAATACACAACAAAGTACTGATGAGAGAAAAGGGAAACGTACTGAAGCTGGAGGAGCTGTTTGATTGGTTAGCGTCTCAGGTAATTTATCTGCAAGTGATGGCCAGAAAGCACTTAGTTTCCGGCGAACCTGGAAAAAAAATAACATATGCATCAAAGAAAAAAAGAATTGACTCACAAAAAATAAAATCAGGTAGAATGAGTACAAGGAGAAATGGATAACCCAACAGAAAGTACAGGAAAAACATTAAAACAAAAAGGTACAAAATGTTAATATACCGCCTGTATCACACGCCATGTAGACTCAAATGGGTATGCCTCTGAAGAACCATGAATAGGATTGTCATCCAGCAGAACTTCAACACAAGAAAGAGTTGAACTTGCAATAGATTCGAGATTGTATCCTCCTTCTAAAGCCAACACGATTTTTCCGTTGGCAAAACTCATCAACTGAGAGACAATAAAACTATGTCAAACATACAATAATCAAGGCCACATTAATGAGAAAAGAGACACTGTAAAATGACCTTTTTCAACATAACTGCGTATCCATATGGTGTGACACGACAACCCCCTACAGGATCACCAGCAGCTGTTTCAACAAATTTGAAAATTAAGAATTATGATACTTAAATAGAAATCAAAGATAAGTACTACTGCAAGCAAAACTATCCACACAATAAAATGAAAACTCATTCTGCAACCTGCATTAAACAGAGAAAGTTAGCCCACCAACCTGCATCAAATCCTGCAGAGACCATAATTAAGTCTGGATTAAACACCTTGGCAACAGGAACCAAAATATGGTCCCAAACTGCAAAATAGTCTGCGTCCCCACACTGGCCATTTTCCCAGGGGACATTAATGTTGTATCCTGCTCCTGGTCCTTCTCCAATCATCGTATAGAAGCCGTCACCATTAGCTGGATAAAAACTTCCAAACTCATGCCTGGAAAAAGCACAACACCATACTGTCATCAGAATTAGGAACTTTGATCTTATGCAAGACAAGTCAACCAAACAAGTTACATACTACAAGCTCCAATGTGATAACTTTTGATACAATGATAGAAGTTAGAAATTTGAAAATTACAGAATCCTTGAAAAGTGTAAATAAAAACCTCGTAGGAAACTTAAATTCAAGAAAACAACAAAGGAATCCCAAGCAGCACATCTTAACAAAACACTACATGATGGAATCTAACTTCAACTTTGTTATGTCAAACATAGGCTTAGAAGATCAAGGAAAAGAACAAGTATCAATTCAAAATTCTGGCATACCTATGAACCGAGAAGAATAAAACACGAGGATCCTTCCAGAACATCTTTTGAGTACCGTTACCATGATGCACATCCCAATCAACGATTAAAATTTTGTTGATACCCAATTCTGGCTGTCAATTAGAACGTGTGAATATGATGCCCTTCGGTGACAACTTTATTAATAAATGAGAAAAAAATCAGTTGAATTTTCAAAACAAGTATTCCACATTTTATAAGAAAATAAAATAAAAGGAAACTGCAAGGCTCAAAAGTGAAGTTCTAATTTCTGAATAACTACAAGGCAGGTCATACCTTTTCATTTAAAAGGATACTTGCTGCAATAGCTACATTGTTGTACAGACAAAATCCCATAGCTTTGTTTTGTTCCGCATGATGTCCTGGAGGCCTAATGATAGCCATGGCAGAATCCAGTTCGCCTTTGGCAACTCTTTCCGCCACCTATTTAAGGAACCCGTAGTGAGGTTATACAAATTTGAAATGTAACAGTAACACACAAGTTATTTGCAGGAGACACACTTAGACTGAAACATGTGAAAGTAGTTTCATTTGTAACTGACTTTGAAATTGCAATAAAATTGCAAATCGTGGGTTGAATTCAGAAGAAGACAGGAATCATGGAATTAGCAGAAATCAACAGTTTCACATATTTTCATTGTGTAAGGAAATTCTACTCATCACTTCAAACAAACACAAATTCAGGCCCACAAGAGTTACCTCTATGGCAGAGCCTGCGGCAAGGTAGGCAGCTTCGGATGATCCTTCATTGAGATATATGGAATTGAATTTCGATGCAATCCGATTTCTCCGTGAATTAAACTGTTTGGAGCTTACATTCCTAATCAGATCAACATGTTTTTTGGTGTGAACTGACAAGATATGCTTGTCTTCTGCTTCTTTTGCTTCCAAAACAACACACCTGAAAAAAATACAGATTTTGAAAAATCACCAACCTAGCAAATGTCTTTCATACACAAGACAAAATTTATTTATGCTCAAATCCCATTTTATATTATAGCCCTGTTATTGTAAAGACGAAAACTTTAACCTAGAAAAAACTTTGAGAATCAGTTTCCCTTAAATTCCAAGACAACGTATGATTGCATTTAAGAACCATATACAAGAAATTAAGTTGATTCTATGGAATTCACAGCAGTAAATGCAGCAGCTTATAAAAATTACTGAGCTTTCATAAGCTAAATGAATACTAGTATTACAAAGACATGTAAAGTTTTCTCCTCTCTGTGATTTTCCCTCGATTTTCTTGTTATTTTCTAGCAGCCAAACACTCATGTGTGTGTACACACACACACACACATATATATGTATAATGTGTGTACCTCTGGGCAATGGCAGCTAATTGGAGCTTGTTCCAGATTGCCTTAATTCGATTGGGGTTTTCCGGATGAGGATCGCCGTCGGGTGTGGAGTGCTTACACATCCTCTCGTCGTACAACAATCCTACCCTCCTCGTCCTCTTCTGCTGCTGACTTTTGTTCTCACAGTCAATATCTTCAGCAACCTCCATCCTCTCTCTCTCTCTCTCTCCTCTCTCCCTCTCTCTCTCTCTCGTCTCTGTGAGACCACGAAAGCGGGAAGGGGAAGAGTGAGGCAGCCAATCCGCTGTCTAGAAAACGTCGAAAATAAATTGCTTTGCGTTGCGTATTCCGATTTTTAACTACAAATTAATTAAAAAAAAATTTTGTGAAATTTTCAATTAATTATATTATGACAATTATCGTACCTGAACAAATTTTCAGCATACAAAAAAATGGGGAAGGACTCTCGCCGGAACCTTTTTTGGGATCTTAATAATCCCGTGATCATGATCGTTCATCATATGATCAGCTTTCTTAAGTACTAGTCATATTTAATTTTAAATTTTAAAATTTAACATTTAAAACAATTTATAATCGCACAATGTATGATGAATAATCATAATCACGGAATCCCTAAGATTCCAAAAAAAAGATCCAACAAGGAACCTTTTCCCAAAAAAATCTCTTCTGTTTTTGCATCTTTGCTTTTTTTATTCTCTCCTTTCATTTTTAACTTTTATGAACAACTGAAGATTTGAAATTTCAAAATTTCTTTCTTATTGGAGGAGTGACATACTCCTCACTAGCCCTTTGAGGGTTTCTTAATTTTCCGAGGGTTAGAAATTTTTAACATTGTTACAATTTTGAAAAATTCAATTTGTACGAAGGAATTCTATTAAATGCATTTTCTATGTATCACAAATAATTCAACATATGATGTCAACAATTGAACTTGAATATGTGAGCGTCACGATAATTACATTGCATTGAGTATAATATTCTATACTCATCACGTGACGCACATGTTTAAGTATTATACTAAGCGGAAGATATAACACTGGTAACACGAAAAACTTCCCATCGTTCCGGAGTTCAAGATGTCAACAATTATTTGCACAAACACCAAGTTTAGTTCAACGGAAGTCTATTATAAATTATTCTCAGTCTATTGTAGCCCAAAGAGGAGCTACACAATGACCTTCATTTCACCAAAGCCTAAACAAACTGTAACTCTAATTTCTGAACAATTACTTGCTTTCTTTCTCCATATGCCTAAAAAACACAATGTTCCAAAACAGAGGACTCTGTTTCTTCCCCCTTTCATATATCTATATATCTTTTACCAGATAGCTATATCTGACTCTACTCTGGTTTTCAAAAGTTTGGCTATGCATCAAAATCTAACTCTTTAGCAGCAGATTCAATCTCTGCGTCGAAAAGATGAAGACGGCCCTGCCATTCCCTCAGTTGAACCAGTAGCACTCTGAGGACTGCCCTCACTAAAACCCGGTGGACGTGTCAATTCTTTCTTCTCTGCATCACTGGAGATTTCACCATCTTCATTCCTCGAGTTTGATAGCGGGCCATATCTGGTTTTCACTTCTGAAAACGGTTGAGTATAAGCATCAACAATCAACACGTTCCATTGACAAAGCACAGGAAAGTTCATGTTTAAGGAACAAATATAAAGGTTTGAAAGTAGTACCTGATGATGTTTTGCCTTTTCTAGTAACCTTTGGATCCCTCGGAATCACAACATCAAGTCTTCCCACCATATTTCCACCTTCCATGTCGATTTCCATGTCCACACTCTGATTCTCTGCCATGTTTGCTTCAACTTGATAGTTTTTCGTACAATGAAAGATTCCCCATAAGAAGCTTGTCACTGTTGACATGAACATGTTTGTTAATAGTAGATAAGCTATGTATCTAACACACGTCAATACAGAAGTTTTCTACATAGTAAAAGACCGAAAAAGTAATCCAAATGGCCTTCACAGGCGAAAGAAATCTGAAGTCGGGTGCAAGAGAATAGGATGTTCATAAGGAAAAACTCACACTGCGTGTCTAACTGCAGCTGTTCTGATGTAAATATCAGCAACTCCACGCCCTGGTCATCAAAGCAAATTCTCATCATCGAATCTTCTTTCTCCATCCGCTCAATCAGCCGAGCATGGTTCTCTCTTGATCTACTAATCGGTAGGAAAAGAAAAATGTTCTAAAGTTGCACTGACAGAATAATTCCGATATCAAAAACCATGCAATCAGAAGCCAAAACAAACCTTTCAATATTTTTATCAGGGAAAAAGTAAATTCCAACATCTTGAAGGTCAGGAGGTTGGTCTTGGAAGATATCAGTCCAAAGTTGGGATCGAGGAACAAAATTTGCCTCGAGGACAGGAGGCATTGTTTGTGCAAATCTATAGGCTTTAGGATGGATCTTACATGGAGGTCGTCCCTGGAACCCTTCGATGAATTCATTAGTTGTAGCTGTATCAACAATGAAGCCTCCCCTATAGAAAGAAAAATCAATTAAGGTTTTGGAAGTACTTAATTATTTGAATGACTTTAAAATATCAACTTATACATGCATCTGCAACTTCTTTTCTGATCAACTTACCAAATAAGTATTCACTTAATTATGTTTGGCACTCCATAACTCAAATCAATACACGAGTTAGTAAAATCTTGATAGAATATGAATATGTAACATCTTAAATGGACAAGTTACCCACCTCCAAGTGACTTGTAGAGCAGGAAGACTTGAGTGATTTAGATTGAGACTAGCAAGCTTATTCTCGAGATCTCTTTCTTCAGCATCTGCATGGTTATGTTCTGCAACACAAGAGTTACCAGATAAAGTAAGGTAGGTTCAAAAGTTGTGTAGATCCAATAAATTACCAGCCAGAGTCACAGCTGGGCCACAATTTCAAACCCACAAATTACCATGTAAATATATCATCAATTTTGTGAAACTTACTAGAAAACTTGAAGAAGAACCAATAATGCAATTCCAAAAAAATTGTAAGTTATAATCCTTGCCTGGACTGGACATAGGTGAGGAGTGCCTCATTGTTGAAACTGTGCACGGCTCCTTTTCAATTGCAGTATCCCTCTTCTTCCGAGAAGTTACATCTGGTCTTGGAATTAAGACATCTTGTGGTTGCTTTTCCCAAACATGCTCCTCTCCAGGAGCTACTGGGTTCTTTGTTTCAACGGATGTTGCTGGAACTAAGACATCCTTTGATTGCTTCTCTCGAATATGCTCCTTTCCATAAGCTACTGAAGTCTTTGTTTCTATAAATGGAATCAGAGATCATAAGCATTGCACATACAATAACCATTTATCAAAGTTACAAAAATCTCTAGAGACCATCTTCACATTTTTAGTAACACACACAACTATTTTCAACATAAAACAGGTGAATGGATACAACAAATACAGTCTCAACACTTTAAGTAACGAGAGAAAATTTTAAATTTTCTTCGAGTAAGAAATGTTACAAATTTTCATTCCAACAATGAAAGGAAATTACAAGACATCATACTTGGAATCGTTACACCACCCTGTATACTGAGCTTTGATGATTTGGCTTCATTAACAGGTGAGGTTGCAACTACTTGATGATCACTGGAACCATATTTCTTTGAGTTCTGAGCAAAAGGAGCCTTTGGCTCTGAAGAAGGATCAAAGCAACCAAATGCACCAGTAAGAGTATATCAAAAAGTTTTGACTAATCTACGTATGTACTCAATCATCCATATCTCCATTTCTATATTGCATATCAACGATTATAAAACAAACTTAAGACAAAAGGTTAAAAGATTTGTCACCTTTTGAATCCTTCAATATTGGAGATGTTTGCTGATTTATCTTTGCGATGCTTGACATCTTGACATTCCTGCCACAGCTAGGAAGCTTCACATGTCCTGAAGCCACAATGCTAGGATTTCCGTTGATTGCAGGCAAGTGGAGACCTCGGTATCACACTTTTAGAGCCAAAAGTAGTCCCTTGGGACATAAGTGCTGTAGAATTTGACTGACCAGATTTGAAGCTGAAGGTATTTCGCTGTGATCTCATTATTTCAACTCCTGACGATAGCCTTATGACTTCTCCTTCTGAAATGTACTTAACTTTTCCAGTTCCAACCGGCTTTTGCCTTCTAGAATGAGCTTGCCACCCTGAATTATCAAGAACTCTGCTGTTACCTGATGGATGCATGATACCATGGTGGTTTAAATCAGTGGGGGATGCTAAATTGTTTTCCTCTCCAAGACATTCTTCGCAAACCCAATCCTCCCAAGCTTCCGTATCAAGTTTCTGCATGCAATAACTGAAAACCAAAGAGATCACAAAAAATTATATTCACCAGTCACCTATGGTCCAAAAAGATTACAGTTGCAATCAATACAAATACAAACCATTATAGTAAGCTGTACTATAAAACCGAAATCTACGAAAGAACACAAGTCCATTACTCTATGCAGAATTGCAATAATATGAAATCAAAAGGAAAGAACCAAGAGAACACAAAGTTGTGATTCAAAATACCATGCATGAAGGACATCCAAAGGTGATAAGAGTAATTTAGAATACTCAAGGAAGCTAGCTAGAGACATCGTTTAGAAGGATCTTTTGTGAGAAATATTCGTTTTTGGGAAACTTTGTGAGACTTGATTTCTACTTCATATTCTTCTTTATCCATGTAGATTGCAAGTCAGCTGTTACTTGAGAGATTATTTTCTTGTGATGATGACAGCTAGCAAGTGAATTTACATTTCTAATTAGAATTGCTTGCTAACCTTCATTCAACTTTTATTTATTTGCATTATTAAGTTTTCTCTGTTTTCTTTTTATTTTCAAAGGACAAAAAAAAAAAAAAAAAAAAAAAAAAAGCAAAAACAAGATGCGTCATGATTTTGATAGACTGATATTATTAAGAAGACATACTATTCACTTGTTGATTGACAGTCAAGTAAATTAGCCAAGCCGCATGCACATACAAATACAGATACATATGCTCTTGCACGCGCACACACATTGAGAGAGAGAGAGAGAGAGAGAGAGAGTCATACGGGTGTGCACGAGCTATATTGCATTTACGGCAGGTTGCAATGAGGTTCTCATCGTTACCACCACCACATGTATCACAGGGTTTGACCTGAAATGAAGAATATTTGCTTTGAAAAAAATTAAGTTCAAACTAAAGTTTCTTATGAAAAAACTGTCCAGAATTGTTTTCTTTTAGAGGCTATCATCAACAAGCAGAAGTAGTCACATATCGGAGACTGAGAGCCATGACAAGTATTCTCTAATTTATACAGCAAAGCATCAGTTGCGCAATCTTGTGGATAACTGAGATGCGCTCTACTCTCCCATATATGATCTAGTAGCTCATCAATCTAAGAATAAGAAGGCCTTGAATGTATACAAATACATCAAAATTCTTACTCAGAAATTGAAAAGAATCATAGCAGGGAACAAAAGAGTCATATTTCTTCAAAACCAACAAACCACCTTCCAAAAGAATAGTATCAAATCTTTAGTGCAAACAAATTGGGTCTATTAACAGGGAAGCAAAAGAATCGTATCAAAAACTTCTTATCGGGGAAGAAAAATCTTGAGAATGTGTCACAACTCTTAAAACAGAGTTGACATTACATGAATACCATCACCTGCACATTGATCTTCTACCTATTTGGCATGAGTTTTCCTAATTTACAAAAAATCTATCTAAATCTTTTTCTTAATATACTCTAGATTCTCAGTGTAAAACTTTAAATTGGTTTTTTTTTAAATGGACTTTAAATTAGTTTGAAGTGTGTATAACATGCATTTGGTATGAATATCCAGTACAAGTTTAAGAAGGCATTGCTTTGTTGGAGACCAACCATGGCATGCAACAATAAAAAGGGGTTAGGAGTATCAGAAAGTGGCATAGCCCAACTTCAACCAAACTTTTTGACCAATAAAAAAAACTTGAACCAAAATTCAACCATATTATAATAATTTGTTTCGGACACGACAAGGTCATGGACTTGACAAGGCGATACTTAAACTACAGGAATGAAGATTTGGACAAGTTCGAGGGGGCGAGCACATTGTCCTTGCCAACTGGACCTAACTTGGATTCGGATTCTAGGTTGTAGTACATTGCTTCAAGTCCTTGTAATAAATTTTAAGTCAGATTCACGTTTTCAGTACATTGTTTCAAGTCCTTGTCATAAATTCTTCAGGCTCCCTCAAAAAAAACATGAGCGCGGACATGAGTTGGACAAGTTGGTCCGGGTCATTGTGTTCGCCCCTTTTATCCAAGTTCGAATTTTCCTTCTCATAGTTTAGAAATTAGAATATCGCCCCTCGAAACGAAAATCCTGAAGGGTTTCTAATAGCTGCAAAACCAAAACGTCTGACAGTGGCAAAAACCACTAATCAGTGCAAAATAATTAAATTCATTCGTACGATTGACTTCAACAGATAGGCACAAAAGGAACTCAATCGGAATCATAAATCCATGAAAGAGAAAAACAACGGAGAAAACAATGAAATAATAACAGGAAAAAAAAAATCACACCCAAATTAAAATAATCAGAAAACCATTCAACTTATATCATTTCAACAAAAAAACCAACCAACGCAGCCAAATCATGAAAGATTAAAATTCGCGAACGAGAGTTGGTTGAGTTGGTAAGATCGTTCTTTTTCCTAGAACTGGTTCAGATTCGAATTTCATTGCTGACAAAAAAAAAAATAGGACTAAGTCCTCATCGAGACTTGTGATATGTGAATTATTTGAGATGGAAAAATTTTCAATTACCAAAAGAAAATAATAATAATTCAACTATTTTATTGTACAAATAAACCCATATAAAATATAAAAAAAATTCAAACTTTACAACTAAAAGCACTTAAATAACACAGAAATGCTGCAAATGCACTTATATAATGGAAGATGAAGCATCATTTAACACAGGCAGCAAACAAAAGAGGCAAAAAAAGAAGAGACTTGTACGAGCAGACAGTAAAAAAAAAGGAGAAATAAAGACATGGGTCGTCCCGAAACAACAAGGGAGGAGACAAAGGAAGGAGATTTAGGGTTTGTGGAGGCCTTTTACCATGTGGGTCTTTCTCGGTTCTTGCATTTGGCTTGTGTCTGTGATGGTTGGTCGATTGATTTCTTTAACCTTTTTCTCTGCGTAGCTGTAGCTGGTAGGGTCGGAGGCGACGAGGCTGACGAGTCAGTCACCCACTCACTCACTCAACTCAGACTCACTCACTAGTCACTGCAGAGTCTCTGTTTTTAGAGAGAGAAAGAGAGGAGAGAGAGAGAGAGGGAGAGCAAGGATCCGTTTCGGGGGGTGTCGTGGCGCGCTTTTAGAGGGTGAGGGGGAGAATTGTACAGTGTGTACCTGCAATTGTACAAGCTTTTTCGTGCATGCCATCTGCGTGTGGTTTGTTTCTCGTGTGGAGAAAAGCTTTGGACTTTTAATTTTTGTTGTGTTTGTTTACTGTTTGGGCCATATGTTATTCAATGGGGTCATTTATTTGGGTTACCAAACCATGGTAAAGGGGATGAATATAATTTTTGAGTCAACGTGTCTGATCACGTATTATGTCAAATTATTCAATATCGATGAATTTGCTGAATCGTTATCAACTGTTAACATATTTGTTTGTGGTGAATTTGAATGATGATATGGATGTATGAAAAGACATGTGATTGGATCGTTTGATCTGAGATTTTTCTTAGGTAAGTTAGATTAAGAGAAATAATTTTTTTCAACCGTTTTTTTTCTCTGTAAATTTAGTAATATTGCGTGGTTACGTAGTCATCACGTTTAATTATGCATATATCACTCGCCTTTTTTCACAGATTTCTTCATCATCAAACTTCAAACCTACAACTAACCATAGTAAGTGGTCCAGTGGTAAGGAAGGGGATTCCGGCTCCTAATATACAAAAACTAGGGAGGTCCCAGGTTTAAGGTTCTAAGTTGGTGAGTTTGCTTGACTATGGTCAGGGAGAGGCTTAAATGCCCCTATGAGTCTTTTGTGGTCAGGAGGAGACTGAAATGTCCCTATGAGTCTTCCCGACTTTCGAAAAAAATAAATAATCGTGATTTGCCACCAATTGTCTCTCTTTTTTAAAGAAAAAAAAAAACTTCAAACCCACAACATATATAGGTTCAATGGCCATGTAATTGGGCAGTCTTTTTCTCAAAAAGTAGGAGGAGTCAACTGCAAATATTCAAAATAATGAAATCAAAGTGGGGTTATCAGCCAATCACCATCCGTTGTCCTTCTGGTGGCCCATCGCTTCTTTTCTTTCAGTAACATTGTGGACCTAAAATTTCTACAAGGTTAGCAGGGATAAATTTTTTAATTTGCCGGGAACACAGTCTAGTGTGCTAGATGTCGTAATATAAGTAATTGGAAAATTTTCTTTTTAAGTGTGCAACTACTTATATTATGACAATTAGTGTACTAGACTGTGTTGCCAAGACACTGAAAAATCTCTTGTTGCTAGGACCCAGAACTATGGATGCACTGGTTGAGTTTTGAGAAATGTATAACCTTCGCATTGTTAGGCGGTATTGCTAATCTAACATCATCATGTTATAATGCGTGTATTTATTTTACGTGCTTATACTGATTTATTCATATTATAACATGTATACATATGTTAAATTTATAGGATATGAGATGGATCATTTAGAGCACTTAAATTAACAATATCACGTAATTATGTAACCGTCACCCAAAAAAAAAAAAAAAAAAAAAGATAATCATTCACCACTGTTTAGTTAATCAAAGTGGAATAGTCTTTAAGACTGCAAAATTCATTACATTGAGAAATTTTTTATTGTGATCAAAACACAGGGTAGATGACGTGTTTTTATATAAATTATGAGAAATTTTATGTTTTAAAGTTATTAATTTTTAACACACATATTCTACTATTTACATAATAACACGTGATGTACTATATAATGTACATGTCACACTAAAAAAATCTCTCCATTACATAAGCATCAATAATAATATAAGCAGACAGCAGTCATTCCTAGTAGAATCCACAGCCTCCGTGTCATGTGCATCCCAAAAGATTCTATATAAATATGTTAAGATTTTTCACCAACCACCACCACGTACAAGAAGTGGCGCTAGAGCCGCCACTTATATTATGATGAAAAGAGTAATGGTAAACTACCTATGCAAATTATATGATCTATCACCAATAAGAAATAAATACGTTAGTTAATATTTAAGTAATAATCCAATAATCGACAATCACGTTATTTGGTTTATAAAATTTAGTTTAAAAAATTGGTCTACCTGACATTATCCGAATGAAAAATCATATTAGATTTTAAGTTTCTTCAATCGCTAGGTACCTTCACATTGTTTAAGGTACACTATTGTATGTTTATGCATAGACATGTGTAAAATCATAGTAATGTACCTAATCAAATAAACAAAATCAAAATGCAATCGTTAAAATACATCACAGAGTAATCTCTAAAAAAACGTGTATTAGAAGTTGGGTAAAAAAAGTTGTGCGAAAGATCCCACCACGTTATAACAAGTGATCTCATAGCATACATTATGCAACCCATTTCTCTGTTTTACCCATTTTTCAGTGGCATTTTGTAGTGTAGATGGAAGCATCTCTAGTTCCACTGTTTCACAGGAAGTGTTTCAACTCTTATAAAGGATTTACATAGAACCACACCGACGGCGGATTAGCCATCGAATTTGTTAAATCGTGTCGCGTGCAGCATCACCGGCAGCTTGCTTAGAGAACCCTGGAGGAATGCGACAGTCATTGAACTCTGTTACTTCTGAGAAAGGCTGCTCATTGCTCAACATTTGCCGCATTTGCTTGGGAGTCGTAGTTCAGAAGGGGTGGAGCTGCCAGACGGCCTTTTGTGGGGTAATATGCTCCCCAGAGGAAGGATTCCACGTCCGATCCTAAGAAAACGACGACTCAAATGAATAGATACAATGATACTCGAAGACATATAGTCTTCTTTTGGTGTCTAGCATTGGATTAGATTGAATAACTCCTTAGATTCAATGTACGTTGAAAGAAGATATAATTACACTCACCATAAGAGTCCTTATCTAGCCTTTTAGAAGAGAAAATCAATAGACTGACGCCATTTATAGTTAGTCTGCAGCGCCATATCTTGCGTCTCTAGAAGTTCCAATAGGCTAAAGTACTGCTGTTTAGACCTACATTATGATTTCAGGCTTCCTCAATTAGCATACCATCATCTATTTATCAATTGCATATTAAGCACTAGAGGTTTGGTTCATGAACAGACCTCTCGAAATCGCCAGGGGAGAAAAACAGCGCCATATCATTTACGGTAGGACTGTAATTCTGAAAGATTTCTGCCCAACAGTCGCAACAAGGGAGCAACGTGCACCGGAGCACGTTAGGCATGAGCCTTGAACACTCTAAAGCTTTTGGATGAACTTTTTCCAGGATATGAGCTCGGAATCCATCATAAAATTGACCACAAGAAACCGTACCAAGGATCTCTAGGCTTCCGCTAATCACAATCACCAAACAAGCAATATTTATCAGATCATGGCAGGAACATGGCAATTTCAGAATAGATAAATGAGTGTGCAACTTCATGAAGTATGAGGTACTCACCACCAAGTAGCATCTAAAACTGGGTGAGTTGGCAGATTTATCTCTGGTTTGGGCAAAATGTTCAGCGGATCACATCCTTGAAAGTCAGAGTTCTTCGGTCTAGCATCAGCACGTAAATTACCTCCTGCGCAAACACATGTTCAATGACATAACTTAAGGACCACATTGCACACCAAAACGTTATATAAAGTAAGAGAATTTTCTCTTGCCTGGATCGTTGATGCACGGAGTATCCGGTGACTCTTTCTTTCTAAGAACTTGATTCTTGTACTCGATAGGAATTGCTTTATCTGAAACAGAAATCGGAAGGTCAATCATAAATAGGAAGTACATAAACACCTGCTTGCAACATTTACGGTTAACATAACGCTTAAAGAGAGGATCTGTGACATCTACACACGCATTCAAGAGCCGATTCCCAAGCATACTCGATATGTAATGCGTTAAAGATTTGAGACAACTGCAGCGTTCAACTTTGGCCCGTCTGTATGTCAACAGTTTCGAAAAAATATTGTCTTGCAATTGATGTTTGAGTTATCTTACATTTTAATTCAGTGCATGATTTAGACTCTTGTGCCTGAGTGGTTGAACTGATTCCTTCACTGCCATGTCCGAAAAGCTTGACACGTCCAGCAGGTACCCTTTTGTAAGTTTCCTTCACCTTCTCCGAAGAGGATTTTTTCGGGGCTGATTTAAACTCAGTGGTAGTCCTTCTGGACATTGTCACCCTGGCATCTACTCGGCCAGAGCTTGAGTGCAATTTACGCGGTGAAGAAAGCTCCACTCTTTGTGCTCCAGATGACGACATTCTAATAGCTTCAATAGGAATAAACTTTACTCTGCCAGTTCCTGGTGACATTTGCTTTCTAAGGCGACCTGAGCTGCCGGTCTCTTCAGTAAGCCTTCTGGAGCGCATAGATGGCGACATTTCAGAGCGAACCATCTCAAAGGTGTTTGATCCTGAAGCCATGTGAGAGAGTTCCTTTCTGACAGATTTTTTAGTGGCTATACCTCCATAACTGCATGTTTCACAAACCCAAATTTCTGGAACAAACATAAGGAGAATTTTCATGCAATATCTGGAAATCAAAACAGTAACCGGTTTAGAACAAGTGCCCGAATTGGTTATACAAAAAATGCACAATCTCTTAGTTTTACAAATGAACTTTGACGATATAGATACAGATCAAACGGTCTAAGTTGTACTGGAAGCGGGTGGCAACCAAGCAAACAAGGATCTGATCAAGTCTTTAGAATAATACGATCCTTTAACTGTGACGAGTTTATGGAATGAGTGTAACGATAAATCATACATGTGTTCCCGAGCTTTGTTACATTGAAAGCAAGTAGCAATCAGTTCTGCAGAGCCTATACCGCCACATACCTCACAAGGTTTGTCCTACAGAATAAGAAGATCAAATTATATATTACAGAAAGGTTTCTTCGTAGAAATATTTCCATATGCCTCGTATATATATAAAGAATAGAACATATAGTCGATATAGACATCCAGAACAAATCATTATACAGCGCATATAACCTATGCGGTTTCAAGTGGATTCAGATTCTTTCTGGAAGTACATACTGATCAAACTCATGGCTTCAAAACTAATTAAAAAACAGTTAAGGCGCTTTAAACACCGCAATCTGAGTTAATGTCGCTTGATGCTGGCGATTAACAGGTCGATTTTAATGAGCATTATGAAAAGTATAAGGAGACTGAAAAATTGGGACAACAAAAACTTGCAACAGCAGCAGAAACCATAGCTCTAAGATAGAGCTATTGGAACTTGCAACTGCCTACCTCTTCCAAGGATAGTTTACCAAGTTCTTGTTACGAACTTACGAGCACGATATGTACATACAAACACACACACACACACACATATATATATATATATATATGAATACTGACTCCAGAGAGAGCAAGCAAACATTATGTATAGGAACAATAAAACTCAGATTAACACAGAAATCAAAACTTTTTATGTCCCATCAGGTGCTATTTTTATCCCCAGAGGCAAGGTTATGGAGAACAAGTTACTAGGGAGGATGTTCAAAATGTGCTCCATCTTGGTATTGTAAATAATGAGCCAGAGTTCTTGGGGCAGCCTTCAAGTTATGCTTATTGAGATGGAGGTGTGCTTTATAGTACATATTTTGTACAGTTTCAATGGATTGTCAGAACAGTGTGTTCTTAAATCACCCATTTCAATTTTGAAGACTTCCCAAGAAACGCCATCATATGTTATAAGGGATTTTCTAGGGTGCCCCGGAGTATGGGATACTCCGGGTGTTTTAACCGTAAATCTTTGTTTAAAAACACAAAACCAAGATTTAACGGTTAAAAAGTTTCATATGTTCCGAAACACTATAGAATCTTGTACAAAGTAAATTGTTGGTACAAATACAAAACAAGCAAGTGGCAGTAGACCTCAAAATGATTGAAGGAAAAGCAAGAGCCAAATTGCTTGACACCCGGGATATATTGCTTCTCTCTCTTTTCACCCATCATTTGACTTCCAAGTGACACGTGAGAAAGATAAAGAAGCAATATATCGCTGTGACATGAGAGGTTTTCTACAAATCAAAGCACTTAGAAAGTGTATAAGGAATCATATTTCACCCAAAATACATCATAAACAGCCAAAGTCTCATCTATAATTCGCATATACACACCCACCAACTGTTCAACCGCAAATTCTACTGAAAATTAGAATTTTTCCCCGTTAGATCTTAGTTTTTGAATTTTAATATAAAAAATTAATCGCTAAAAGTTTTGATGTATAAGATAGACCGTAACATACTAAAAATTCATGTTCAACACTAGCTAGTAGCTAAAAAAAATGATTTCCAACCGATTGGCCAGGTCGGGAAGTCTATCTTAAGAAACCTTCATCTTGCTTTACAAATAAGCTATTTCCAACTTGAACCTGTGATCTTTCGATCACAAAGAAACAATTTTTCATTGCGCCAAGACTCCCGCTCTAACTCTATCTAGTCGCTAATCAGCTAATGTTGCAAAATTCAGATTACCAAACATAAGTGATAATTTCAGACGTTACAGTAGAAAAAAAAAATTGAGGGAACGAAGAAACAAACAAACAGCATTGAAGTTCGAACAGTAAAGAGCAGCCATCACAGTCCTTTCCCCCTTAAATAAAGTAAAGCAAAAATACGATGAAAGTAAAGGCAGAAGGACCCAAATGTAAAGAATGTGAAATATTGGCGAAAGAGAAAGGTGTTTTGGGGACTTTACCATGTGGGTTTTTCTAGGAGGTCTCAATTTTGTAGTAAAAAACAATGCTTTCGTTCTTCGTGCGATCTCTAATGGCGTTTAGAGCTGCAAACTCCGATGGAGCTCGAATGGCAGCACAGAAATGTAATGTCGTTTTTACTACTTCTTATATTTTCTTTTTAATTTTTTGTCATTCTTCTTCTTTAATTCATTCGGTTTGACGATTGTAAATTGAGAGAGATATAAAACGTAAAAGAGAACGTGTAAATATCACTGCCTTAAAAAACAGCAGTGACATTATGAATTTTATCATGCTTGGATAACACAAGGAATTTCTCCTCTAAACAGTTCATAATCGAACATAAATCACTGTATTTTTGTTTAAAAAAAAAAAAAAAAGCATTTAAAAATGAGGACGTTTAGTTAAGTAACTTTAGCAAATACATTGACAATCGATTACTAAACAATCTCATATTCATTAACTTTTTGTATAGATAAATAGTTATTTATACTGTGGATAGGCAGCGATGTGTTTTGAGGAGGAATTCCTCCTTATCTTTTGAGGAGCCAAGTTAATTTTTTTTTCAATTGTGTTAGCTAGACGAAAGATAACACGTGAAAAGTTTATTTGACACATGATTTATTTTTTTAAACACGCAACTAATATTCATTGGAGACTGATGTCACTAATATTGTGCATTGATTACGCGAGAAATTTTTTCAAATTAAGCCCTCTAGTTTAGCAAATATTTCAATCCAAAGAAATGTCCTAGGTGCGTTCTCCCAAGACAACATTTATACAGAATCATCCGATTGCTAGTCGAAACAATAAATAGAAAGTGTAATTTGTTATAAGATCAAAAAATGGGACTTGGCATTAGGCCTTAGGCCCAAAGAGAGGTTGGGCCACGATAGCTGTGGCCCAAAAAAACTGATAACATTTAAGACCAATTATCATCATATGGTCAAAGATTTTACAAATAACCGGTGAGTTTGCTTGACTACGGTTACGGATAGTGTGAAATTTCGTATAACCTCTCCGGACCCGAAAAAGGTAAATAATCACGGCTTATCACCAGTTGTCCCTCTTTTTTAAAGGAAAAAAAAAAGATTCTACAAATATCAATTATTGCACTAATCAAAATCAAATAATGACAACTAAGAAATATCTGGAAGTGATCATTTCGGCAATTATAATTTATAATTCATTATTTCATAAGGTCTTCAAAGAGAAATGCCTCTTGGATATCAAATTTACAAAAATAGTATCAAAATAATTATAGTGACATTTGAACAAAAAGCCAAAAAAAGAAGTGATTTATAATTTTTTTTCGACAAATAATAGAATAATCTTTACCAAATGCATTTAAATTAGGGACGATTAGAATCCCTTGCACTTTTCTAATACTCTTTAGATTAAACATTGGTTCTATTTTGAAATTTGATTAAACGTATCAAATATGTGCTAAGAAGAAATCTACATTTCAGAAAGACTTTTTATTAAAATTGAATACTACAATATTTATCTACAAGATTTTAGGAGTTTTGAGATATTATCTAAGAAAATTGAAAGGTATATTAAATATAATGGCAAGTTGCAATCATGGGTATTTTGAAAGACTTTTTATTGGAATTAAATTCTACAATATTTTAGGAGTTTTGATGTATTATCTAGGAATTAAAAGGGTGTATTTATATAATGGCAAGTTGGGTAATTTAAATTATAAAAAAGGCTACTTCTAATCCATGTGGCACCTAAATTGTAGGAAAATGTTTAATCAAAACTTTAAAAGGCATAAATGTTTAATCTCAAAATTTTAAAACCTAGGCAACTGTATCAAACCCCCCTTAGAAAAATTGGTGTACCATGTGGGCAATCTCTCGAATCCCTAAACCCTAATTTTTACTTTTTTTTTTTTTTTTAACGTACGACAATAATGTTTTATCCCACCATCTAGGTCAGCGGTAAGAATATTAGAATATCATCACTCTCGATTTTACCCCAAATATTCCGTTAGGTCACCTACGTCACTCTAGTCGTCACATCATGGCCACAGTAGGATCCAGTCCGGCCCCATAAAGAATTTCATATTTCATTGCGATTTCCGGTTGGGTGTGAATGCTCCATGTATCTGTTGGCGGAAGAATTTGGCAAAAACTAGGTTAAGCTTATTAAGTTTTAGAAATCAAACGTGCAGACGTAAGAACAAATGAGTTCAGTGACACGACGAAAGTGAAAAACATTGCAATATCTTCGACAATTTGTCTTGTATACACTGGCGCATAGTATGAATTATGATTTTGATTTATGTCATGGGCCGATTCATTCTAAAATTTCTCACGTTAGAAAATCCGATAATTAAAATACACAAACAAGACTTGGAAAACTAATATTGCCCTGGCTTTTAGGTGCTTTATCAGGGTAATATTGAAATTGTGATGTGAAAATATCATCTGGCGATGCAGAAAGATGATTCTGCTGACTTAAGGAATTTTAGCCATTTGGTGGAGGTTGGTGAGGGAAATTAATTCTACATTAAAAGCTCTATTTGCTCAAGGCCAGGTTATCATGGACCCCCATGATAATGTGTTTTCCTCAATTTATATAAAGGAAACTGATATTGACACTTCAAAAATTTCATTTACTGTAACATTGCACATCGTTTAGGGGAGTGGATCCTCTAAGCCTTATATGTATATTCCTATCTCTACCTAGCACAAGACCTTTTGGGAACTCACTGACTTTGGAGTTCATCGGAACTCCAAAATTAAGCGAGTTCGCGCAAGAGCAATCCTAGGATAGATGGCCCACTGAGAAGTTTTCGTGTGAGTTTCCAAAAACAAAACCGTGAAGGCGTGGTCGGGGCCCAAAACAGATAATATCGTGCTACGGCGGAGTCGAGCCCGGGATATGACAATTTGGTATCAGAGCCAATCCATGCCTGGAAGTGTGCTGACGAGGACGTCAAACCCCTAAGGGAGGTGGATTGTAACATTCCACATCGTCCAGGGGAGTGCATCATGTAAGCCTTATATGTATATTCCCATCTCTACCTAGCACGAGGTCTTTTAGGAACTCACTAGCTTCGGAGTTTATCGAAACTCCGAAGTTAAGAGAGTTCGCGCGAGAGCAATCCCATGATGGGTGACCCACTGGGAAGTTCTCGTATGAGTTCCCATAAACAAAACCGTGAGAGCGTGGTCGAGACCCAAAACGGACAATATCGTGCTACGGTGGAGTCAAGCTCGAGATGTGGTGGGGGCCCGGGCAGGGATGTGGCAATCACACTCTTCACAAGTTACAAGTGTATTTTTTATTTTAAATATAAAAAATTTCAAGTGTAAAATAAAATTTTTGAAGTGTTGATAACAATTTCTATATAAATATATATATATATATATATAATATGGAAAATTAAGATTCAACTATAACTACAGAAAAAACTCTCTAAAATAATGCTTTATAAAAGTAACTTCATTAACATCATAGAAAATTTTGGCACGATCGAACTTGAGTATATATATTATATTATATATGAATAAACACTACATTGTAATAAGTTATAATTTTTTTAGTCTTACCTTAAAGAAATACACTACCTGTAGTAATAATGGTTAATAATTACAAAATATGCAATATCACAAATAAAACTTTAAGTTGACCTAAAATACTTCTCTACAATTATTTGGGACAATGATTTAGTTTTTAGAATTAATGACACCTCTTTGAGCTTTCAGGTACATGTGCAAGAAATAAAATACTTAGTGCCCTATAAATTTTAAGAAAAACTAATGAAAATAGTTTCAAAATTTTGCATTTTAATAAAAAACCATCCATTAACTTTTTTTTATTATAAGGGACAAAATAAAAAATAAATAAATAACACCAAATGCGCTAGCGCGCATACACCCCACTCCACCCCCCATTTCCACTATGTTTTCTCCCCATTGTCAACTAACATTAAGCCATTATTATTATTATTTTCATAGAATAAGATAAAGACTTCAAATTGAATTACATTTTCCCAGTTTTATTTTTGTGGTGATGTTTCCCAATAGTAGTCAAGATGATGAGAGATTTTTCAATGTGCTTAGAACACGGAGTGATACACCACATCTCTATACAAGTGGTGAGAGTCTTGTGTTAAAAAATAAAATTTCCCAACACTTACATAATAACACGTTGTGTAGAAAGTTAAGATTGTAGGTGGAGGAGAAGTGTGACATCCCACATCGCCCAGGGGTGATCCTTAAATGTATATTCTCATCCCTACCTAACACGAGGCCTTTTGGGAGCTCACTGGCTTCGGGTTCCATGGGAACTCCGAAGTTAAGCGAGTAGCGCGCGAGAGCATTCCCAGGATGGGTGACCCATCGGGAAGTTCTCGTGTGAGTTCCCAAAAACAAAACCGTGAGGGCGTGGTGGGGGCCCAAAGCGGACAATATCGTGCTACGGTGGTGGAGCGGGCCCAGGAAGTCGTCCCACCCGGGCCGGGATGTGACAATTTGGTATCAGAGCCTAACCCTGGTCGCGAGTGTGCCGACGAGGACGTCGGGCCCCTAAGGGGGGTGAATTGTGACATCCCACATCGCACAGGGGTGATCCTTAAATGTATATTCTCATCCCTACCTAACACGAGGCCTTTTGGGAGCTCACTGGCTTCGGGTTCCATGGGAACTCCGAAGTTAAGTGAGTAGCGCGCGAGAGCATTCCCAGGATGGGTGACCCATCGGGAAGTTCTCGTGTGAGTTCCCAAAAACAAAACCGTGAGGGCGTGGTGGGGGCCCAAAGCGGACAATATCGTGCTACGGTGGTGGAGCGGGCCCGGGAAGTCGTCCCACCCGGGGCGGGATGTGACAAGAAGAGGAAGCCGCAGATGGGCGGACAATAGAAGAAAATTAAGTAATTGGTATAGAAAGTTAAGAAACTGAAGAGATATAGAGAAAATTTGATGAGTATTGAAGAAAATTAGAAGAAGAAATGCATTTGGAAGGTGACAATGTGCCAAGAAAATTCAAGAAGAAGAGTGAGAAGAATGTAGTACCATACAATTTCATAAACAATGTAGTACCGTTAAGTTTCATAAACAGTGTAGCACCGTTAAATTTCATAAATAGTGTCGTAATTTTTCATAAACAGTGTAGTAAATTAGTTTCCTAAATAATGTCATAATATTTCATAAACAGTGTAATAAATTTCATAAAAGTGTTGTAAGTTTCATAAACTGTGTAATAAGTTTCATAATAAAATTGTTTTGATCTATACTCCAAAAAAAAAAAAAAAAAAAAAAAATCACTCCTAAACTCGAATAATAATAGTTGCTTCCAACCTCTAATTTGACAGGTTTTGCTGCACCTAATCATTTGTTTTAAACAAACGGTATTATCTACGGTAAGGGAAATATGGTAAGCTTAGCTTCACAATGAGTTAACAAATATGTAGTTCAAATTCGCTTTTGGCTAGAATTGAACCTAAGACCTCTAACTTACAAATGAAGAGGTATTGATTACTCGGATTCACAAAAATGCACCTAAAGGTATGGTTGTTCTTATGACGAACATTGCCTGATTTAGACATGCAACAAGTCATTCTTACTCACAAGCGAACCAATCTAACGCGTGCATGCTTAGTAAACACAAAACAACAAACGCGAGTCAATCTATGATTTGTTTGCAAGGAGAAGTGACTCAGTAAACCAAACCATGAAATACTCATCGAATTAATAGACTAGCTAGTACACTCTCAGATTAGATCTAAATCTATTGTACAAACGAAAAAACAGAGAGCGAGAGACAGCTGCTTCACAAAGACCCAAAAAGGAATCAAAAGCCCATCTGCTTTTCCCCACAGCTGCTTTTTTCCCACATAATACGGTTACTTAATTACTTAGAAGGGCAATGAAGATACAAAAATACAAAAATCTTAGCAAGGATGTTCCCTAAGATGTTCATAATTGCACATCCTACCCCATCTTCCTCCTCCTCGCAGCCTCTAAATTCCTTTTCAGCCCCACCAAAGCATCAAGCCTGAGAAGAATAGGGTTATGAGAGAAGAAAACAAACTAGCAGTGTCAACAGATCTAATCCCACCGCTGTCGTCCGTGTTGATGCCAGCTCCCGATGGCCCTACGCCCGTGCCAATGCCTCCTAGTACTCCAGGAGTCGCTGTGTACGGGGTGGTGCCTGTAGGTGTTGTGCCAGTTGTGGGTGTTGTGCCAGTTGTGGGGGTTGTGCCGGTGATAGGGGTTGTCCCGGTGGTAGGGGTTGTCCCGGTGGTAGGAGTTGTGCCGGTGGTAGGGGTTGTGCCGGTGGACGGGGTTGTGCCGGTGGACGGGGTTGTGCCGGTGGTTGGGGGAGTGCCGGTGGTTGGGGTTGTGCCGGTTCCCGTGGATGGTGTTGTCGGAGTAGTACCGGATGAGCTGAAGGACAAAGAAGAAAAAATATTTAACACACCAAACACAAAACCTAGAAATGCCAGAACGGAAGCTGCAAGCATATGATCACGTGAAGCATACAGAATGAGAACATACAAAACAAAAAATCATGGAAGATAAACAAGTTTATGATTTTACAAGAAAATTTACGCTCCCACATGTTTACGCAGTGGCTGAACAGAGACCGTGCAATCATAAAGCTCATCGTAGGTCCTACACAGCATTCTTCGAGATAAGCTTTATGCTGTGTAGGACCTACGATATTGCAAAAGCAGTCAGCCTTGGAGAGAGATGCTGGAAACGCAAGCTTATTCAAAAAAAAAGTTCAGAAAGATCAATAACTATTCAAAGTTGCCCTTCGAATACGAAGCCAATGAACTATTTGTGCAATGCAACAACGTCACGAAGATTTTTAAAAGTTCCATCCTATAGCCAAGAACAACAGGAATGTTTGCATCTTAACGCGAACACATGTTTTTCGGAGCATATTTAGGCATGTAACATCGTGTAAGCTGATTTAAATTCATGCCGGTTCAAAGTCATTGAATGTATGATACTTGGTGTATCAGGGTCGTATTTCTGGTATACTTAAAATTTTTTCCTTGTTTAGGAGGTGATAATTAATAATTATCTATAGTAGGCCCCATCTCTCAAAATCCACCAATGTATGAGAGGAACGAGCATAACACTTCTTTTAAACAAAAGTAGTTTAAAGTACATTAGCATCTAATCTAAGACCTTTCGGGAAAGCTTTTGAATAAAAAATTAGTTTAACATACTAATTAAAAATTAGAAATCTTTTACAGTTGAATGAGATGCATCAGAGGTAGAAGAAACGATAGGAAGAGTAATGCATGAGTTTTATGACTCTTACCCAAGTGGATAATTACATGCGATTCACATGGCATTGTATTATAAGTGGCGAGAAGGCGCATGTAAGTCCCTCTCGGATAATAGTCATAATACGCATGACACTAGCCCGAGACGCCATAGTGACATCCCGAGAGGTGTATGAAAGTCCTTCGCCACTTATCCGGTAAAGTTATCATAAACGATGTAAAAACAGCAAGAAAAACAAAAACAAAAACAAAAACAAAACCAAAACCAAAACCGAGTTTAGATTAGTGCTACCAAAAAAAACGGTGAAGTGAGATTAAAGTCGAGAAAACAAAACTTCAAAAAAGCTGGCTCAGATCTCAAAAGATTGAGCATCCAAGGCTATGATGTAGCTTTTGAATCCTCAGAATATCTATTGTCCCACCATGGACGTGGTACTATGCTTTTCGTGACGGACAAAATCTGCCCATCACAGATGTGGACAAAAAACTCCTTCACCAAAGTTTTTTGTGGCCGTTACTTTTGAATTCTGACTCTGATCACAGACCATGCATTTGCATTAGGCAGTGTACGGCGCCTAAAGCCAAAAAGATGATGGCTTTGCATAACAAAGGGACAGATGTCATTCTGTGTCTGTGACAACATTTTTTTTACCCTTTTTACTGTTACTTTCAACACAATTTAACCACTTTACCCCCTTTTGGGGTTAAAAAAAACGCATTGGATCCCAATTATTTGGCAAAATTTACGGAAAAGGATTTTTGGAGTTCCGGAAGATTTCGTGATCCTTATCGTTCATCGTATATCGTGCGATCAGAAATTATTTAAAATTTAAAATTTAATATAAATAGTTTGTAACGGAAACTAATCGTTAATATATTATAAACGATCATGATCAAGAGATCTTCCGGATCTTGAGAAAAAGAATTTGGCTAGGATCATTTTCCAAAATTTACTGAGCTCAACTACCAATACATGGGCAAATTTTAACACCATGATGCAAATTTCAACACCAGTCGAAAATATAAAAAGAGCTTATTAGATAATTTAGATTGATCAAAGCAAAAAAGAAAAAGGAGGGTGTTGGATGATACGAGGTACAATGAAGGAAAACGATTTCCCCACACCATTGTTCTTCTTATCCAAACGTTATTTTTATAGTTATATAAAGCAAACGAGAATCTACGGAATGCAGAAGAGGATAAAAAAGTATGAGAAAATCATTTTCCGTATTAAAAATATTCACAAAGAAAACAGTAGACAGCAGAAAACAAAATTAACCAAGTTTTTTACTGCAAAGTTAATATATGGAGTTTGGTAACTCTTTGTCCCTGCAAATCATATTTTTGTCTTTTAAGAAAAGTGCTTTTCCTGCATTTCTACTTAAGCTTTGCCCTAAAGCAGCACTCCCAATTCACTACTTACAGCTTAGCCCTAAAATTTGAAATCCAAAGAGTAAACTCTGTGGACTGTGGAGTGTAACTTGATGGCATTCAAAAGATTCAAGCAGAAATAATTAACCAAAAAGATAATAAAAAACCAAATAAAATCCATGAAAAATGGAAAAAAAAAATTGGTCCAAATTAACCATACCTGGCACTGGCAGGGTAAGTACAACCATTTGAGCCTGTAAAAACACCATGGAATGGTAAAAAAAAAAGTTACCACCTTTAATCTAACTGATCCATACACAAAAAAATCAACCCAAAATTTAACAAAAAAATGAACCCAAAAGAGAAGGATCTGGGGACTTACTGGGATCAGTGGCGGTAGGGGTTGCAGTGCCAGAAAAGTCACAAGTGCCAGTGGATTGGCCCTTCTTCTGGAAATAGCTGTTGACAGCATAGCTGCAGTGAGCTTTGACAGTGTTGGGGTTGTAGCAAACTCCATTGGGTTTTATGGGGTTGCAATCTGCCCCAGCTCCACAGGCATAGTCCAGTGCCCTCTGCAGGGCCGTAGGGTCTCCATCTTTGCAAACACACCAATTTGCACCTATACAAATATAATTCCCACAAACAAATAAATAATCAGAGGCTCAAAATATTAAAAGGGGTGAGTTTATACATGGCAGGAAGATCAAAGATCAGATCTATTTTTCTTTTTCTGAAAAAAAAAAGCCCAAAAATGCAAACTTTAAGAGAAATATGAAATCTTTAACATAAATACAAATTAGAAATTAGAAAAACAAATGAAGGAAAATGAACACTGAACTAGTAAGGAAAAATGGTATTTTTTTTAAATAAAATAAAAAATTTACAGGCTTGATTAGGTAAGTACAGTGTGGAAAATATGGTGTTGAAAAAAATACCCATTTCACTTAAAAAAAATTATATGGAAAATACATAAATGTGTTCTTACTTGACTGGCCAGCCATGGCTAAGAGAAGCAGAGCTGCAAAAGCTAGGGCAGCCATGGTTGAAGAGAGAGAGTAGTGTGTGGTAAGTTAACAATGGAGCTCAAAGCAAGCTAGCTCCAGCTGAATCTAGAGAGAGAGAGAGAGAGAGTGAGAAATGGGATGAGGGTGTGAGAAAACAGGAAATGTGGGTAAATATCTAGATACACAAAAAAAAAAAAAAAAAAAAAAAAAAAATGAAAAAACTTGGTGATGTTGACGGTGCGCGGTGATAGTGGCTCTGTGTGCGTGGTGTCGGCGTCCCTTTTCCTTTTTTTCTTCTCTATCTCGTTATGTGTACAATTTTTAACACTGTTCATTTCTTGGTTTGTACTGAAGGCAATTACCTATCGCGGATTTTACGTCACCATGTCGTTTTGTGTTAATTGTAAAAGTTATGGACTTATTTAGAAGCGTTTTTATAATTATAAGAGCTTTTTGAAAATATAATTTTGAGTTTCAAAAAAAGTTCTTCAAGCAAGAAGTATTAATTATGTTCTTATTATAAGAAGCATTTCAAATTTTTCATACAAGTAGCACCAATCATGCAATAAACATCAATTATGTACTTATTGTGGGAATCACCATATTTGTATTTTTACTAAATATTATAATCTTTCATAAGCTTCATTTCACGATTTTAAAAATATTTTTAAACCAGTCATTGTTAAAAATCAAACTGGTTTCATGTCATGGGGACTAGAACAACGAACATGAATGAGGATTCTCTTCGGATCCTCTTTGTGAGGATTTTAGGAATCCTTATATCGTGTCTGTTTATCTTATATCGTATGGTCAGTTTTCGTCAAATAATGTTTGTGTTTAATTTTAAATAAAAATATTTAAAATGATTTATGACCGCACAATGTACGATAAATGGACACAATGTGAGGATCTGGAGAGGATCATCATTCCCTTTCCAATTGGATTCTCTCCGGATCCTTTTGGTGAGGATCTTGTGGATCTGTAAATCGTGTGCATTGATCCTATATTGTGCTGTTAGTTTTTGTCAGATACTGTTTGTATTTAACTTTAAGTAAAAATATTTAAAATAATTTCTGATCACACGATATGCAATGACCGAATATAATTAACGAATCGCAAGCTAACAACGGCTGTGGTCTTGATCATCAGTTGATACATCATCTTTTTTGTAGTGTAGTAATGTGGTGTGGAACATCTCATGTGTTACGTACGTTGGCAAGAGAACGTGAGAGGGAATGATTGAGATCATTTTTATTATTATTTTAATATAAATATTTTACACTAATTTATATTAAAAAAAGAGAAAGTTGAACTGGATATGCATGTGTCAAAAAGAATTGAGATAAGACAGAGATTTAAATTATGAAAAAAATATACTAGGGTGTTATGAGTTATTTTTTCACTCGAGTTGAGTAAATGATATTTTAAATTACCATACAAGGGAAATTTGAATTCAAGTGCAATAAGACGAGTCCTCTTCCATGGCTGCTGATTTGATTTGGATATGAGCCAACATTTTCAAGTAAGTTAAACAGGTTGACACGATTGCAACACAAATACGATTTCGACACAAAAGTGATTGCGCTCAATTTAATCACATTACCGTCCATATGCTTGTTTGAGTCGTATTAACGTGTCATGTTTGAAATTCCCGTCTACTGTGTTGAACTTTCATGACCGAATGATATGGCCCATACCTACTAGCTTTATGCAATCCGGCCCGTCATTCCAACGGTTCATTCGCTTCGGCCCGTCAAAATTTCACTACGAACCCAATATACGTGATCGCAAACTTAAAATACCAAATACCAGGTCGGACCCGTATACATTCGGGTCACTTAATTTACTTGACCCGAAATCTTTTCGTGCCAAAAAAAACCAGACGCCCTCAAGCTCTCAAGCACCAAAAAGCTTCATTTCGTCAAGCGGAAGAAGAAGAAGAAGAAGAATCCGGAAAGATGTTGGTTCAACTTCCGCGGCTGACCAGCTCTCTTAGAGAGCCCTTTGACGTCGATCAGGCCTATTTGCAGCGGAAGATCCTCCTCCAGAGCCGCCACAAACCGCCCCAGTATTTTCTCTCTACAATTCTCACTTTTTTTTTTTTTTACTGTTATTTTCTGTTTGGTTGCCGAGAAAGTGTAGGAAATGTAAGTAGGATGCTTAGAAAATTGATATGAGTTTGATATGAGATAGGAGCTGGAATGGAATGCCGAAGTTTCCCCGTGGAACGAGCTTGATGCAATTTAGCTTTAGCTTGATCGAAGATTTAATGGAGAAATTAGGACGAATTAAACGAAATTCAATATCTATGTATTTTCTGTGTGTATTAGGATCTTAGTGATTAAATGGAGGAGTAATACGCTGCTCGGGACGTGAATTTTGTGCTAATGTTTACTAGTGAAGCTGTTTACGGTTCCTGATTAGTTGTTCTTGACCAATTAATTCCGAAATAATATTTGGATTTTCGGACTTATCCGGTGTAGGTCTTCGAGCTCAGTTGATGAGTCGGAACTTGCTAGGAAGATAGTTCATAGATGGGAAGAAGGTAATGTTGACAACTTTCCTGTAGTGTGATTGTGGACATAGCACACCGTATTTGATATATTGAATAAACTAGAAATTTGTGGAGCAGCTTCAGTTGAAGTGCGGCAAGCGTACAAGCAGTTTGTCGGAGCAGTGGTTGAATTGATAGATGGAGAAGTTTCCTCCGAAGAGTTTCGTGAGGTGGCACTGGCTATGTACCGCCTTTTCAGCTCGCCAGCGGAGGAAGCCAATGTTGAAACAATTATTGCCAGGAGAAGGTAAGAATTCTGCTTTCCAATCCTTAATGTTCATTTTAATCAGATAGAAGTGAAATTAGTAAATATAGTATTACAAGTGGTTGCTCCCTTGTGTTCTGGCCTCCAGGAACACAACGAACAAGTTATTCATAGTCCATTACTATTTATTAAGTTTCTTTATCTACAAAACTGAACATTCGTAGACCTGATTTACTCATTGACGGATGAAACTAATTTGGAACATATTTATACAAGATTCTCACAAATGCCTTACATTCATATAGAAGCAAATTAAGGAATGCAGGGGACTGTGTCAAATGAGTATCCATCGCAATTTGATTAATTTATCATGCGTAGTTAGAGATTGTATATGAAATTTTAACTATGATTATCGACCAAACGAAAACAAAGTTTCAAGAATTTTGATTTTATCCTCTAATATTTGAAATGCAGGCTGGAAGTGCAAAACTTACTTGGTCAAGCCGTTTCGGATGCTAACATGCGGAAGGTTGTCTCCCTTGCCCAGAGACTTTGTGGGGTGCAGTCTAGTGATGGGGGGACTTCGCTTCCAGAAAACCCTGTAAGTGGGACTGATGACAATGCAGAATTTGGCGCTGACCTTGTTTTCCATGCACCAGCTCGGTTTCTGGTGGATGTTTCTTTGGAGGATGGGGAGCTATTGGGTGAGGAAAGCACTTCTTCTACATCATATTATGAAGGATTATATAGTCGCAATGACTTGAATGATCGTCAACCTACTTCCAATGGACAAAGCTTCAACTTGAGTTGGTTACAAGATGCATGTGATCGGATAATAACAAAAAGTACTTCACAGCTTTCTGGAGATGAATTGGCTATGGCCATCTGTCGGGTTCTTGACTCTGACAAATCTGGTGATGAGGTATTCATTAATAGTTCATCTACTTTTATTGTAACGGGCTTCACTCTTGTGCTTTTGTAGGCAACTAAATTCATACTAATCATGAGATCTTTTTCTTAATGAAGATAGCAGGTGACTTGTTAGATCTTGTTGGGGATAGTGCGTTTGAAACTGTCCAAGACCTCATATCAGTAAGAATATAAACATTCTACTACTTTGTTGAGCTAGTCTTAGATACTCTTTACAGTGTCCTCCTAAAACACTACCAACACACATGCACAGGCAACACAAAAATCCGCTTCCCCAGTACTCTTTCCTAAAATGTGTCATCATGATCTTTGTTTGAAGAAGTGGCACCTTCTTTTATAAATATATTTGTTCTTTAAATACAAATTTGATTCCCCTTTTTTGTAACAGCATATCACGTTTCAGTTGTAGGATACAATTGTTTCTTTGGCCATCTAGTATACATTTTTGATGGATATTTCTTAGAGAAGTCTATTCCAGATTTAATATTTCATGAATTTACAGCTAAAGTTTCTTTTTTGATTTTTGTTTTTATGTTTCCCACAGCATCGAAAGGAACTCGTCGATGCCATCCATCAAGGGCTACTGGGACTGAAATCTGATAAATTATCTTCAAGCTCTCAACCACGTATGCCTAGTTATGGCACACAGGTAGAACTGATTCTGTATAAATTTGTTCTCGTCGACACATAAATCAAAAGGCTAAATATGGCATCAAGCATTCCATTTCTGTTTTCAGGTTACTGTTCAAACAGAATCTGAACGGCAAATTGATAAACTTCGGCGCAAAGAGGAAAAGCGACAAAGACGAGGAACAGAATATGGCGCTGATAGTGATCTGGCTGGTGTAAAATTTTCTTCTCTAGTACAAGCAAGTGAAAGAAAAAAACCTGTTGATGATCTCTTAGGGTATGGTGAAGCTCACTCTTTAGCAGTCAGTGCTCTTCCTCAAGGAACTGTGAGGAAGCATCATAAGGGGTATGAGGAAGTCATTATTCCCCCAACACCAACAGCACAAATGAAACCAGGAGAAAAGCTGGTAACAATTAACTTTTCTGATAATTTTATTTCATGTTTGTCATTTTAAAACTATATACACCGGTTCTCAATTCTTTACATAATTTTGTTAATTGGAGATGACTAATAGGTACCTTTCGGAGGCGCACAAGTGGATAATAAGTTAGGGAGTCTCCTTCTATATTATTTTAGGTACTAGCTGCTCTCGGAGAACTAAGTACTAGACCTGTTTTTTCCCTTTCCCCGATGAATAGGGAATAGGGCTTGGTATGTTTGTCAAACAACACCTGAAGAAAGCACAAACAGAATACATGCTAAAATTAAGAACAGGTTCTTTTTAGAGAACATTGACACTCCCTTCAAGGCAGTCAACTATGAAGGATTTACTTTTATTTATTTTTATAATCTATGATCTTAAAAGATGAAATCAAAGTAAACCTTA